TTACATTAGAGTTAATAGCAAAGTTAATGTTAAAAGCTTAATAATAAATTTATATTTGCTACTATATGGCGTAGATATACTTTGTGGTATGCGTGAAGTTTGTAAAAGTCGAGTCAGCACTTTCCGAAACACTTCACTGGAAATTAATCCTGAGTAGCGACCTAATCCCCGAATATAGACGTTGGTTTTATTAAAATAAAAGTGTTTTGTTTAGGACCATTGGTTATTCGCTTTGATCAAATCGCTTTGTTGATCATCGCATATTAATTCACAACAATGATAATTACAGGTTTAATTCAACAGAACATAATTGCTCATTTAACCATTTTTTATTATGTTAATGTGATTGTATACGTATTGTATGCGCATAGAAAATTATTAATAACAATAATGTACAAATTATATTCAGATGATATAATTCAAGTCCATATGAAATTTATTCCTGTTAGAGAGGTTGATGTTTGATAGGTGTTTCAGTTTAATTTGCAAATAATTAGGTATGCGTAATATAATTGAGTTCAATAATCAGATCAAATCTGGAATAATTTGACTTAAAAGAAATTTATAATTAGATGTAACATAATTTATTTAATCAGATTAGAGCCGGAATATATTTAAACTTGAAAAAAAAATTTATAACTGAAGCTATAATGTTTATAGAACAAATGCTATTTCAATAATTAGTGCAAAGTTAAGATCAAATTTTTAAAAAAGCTAAATTGTTCTTCTTGAGAGTGAAATTTGATCAAAAATTAAAAAATTTTTGTTTAAAAAAAACTTTAACAATTAGCATCACAAAAATAAGCTTTATGATTCAACATTCGTGTTTCGCGTGTGTAACATTTTTAGCTCGCGATTAAAGAGCTAAAACCAGCTGTCAAAGTTTAAAACAAAGTTATTTACGACTGTGTAAGAAGATTTAAAATTGTCGCACTAAAAACAAATGTCAACAATTGATTAATTTGGAAGGATCGCTTTACCCTTCGCAACCTTGATCAATTCCGTCGATGAGATGAGTCGCATCGGTTTTACTATGCATCCGGTGGGAAGCTCGCAAATGTCACTTCGTGATTCCCAGGATGCAATTTCAATTGGAAATCGCTGACGATCGCTGTGAACCGCATCCCGTGCGATGTAATTAGAAACGGCGTTGTAATGAAGCTGTCAATTATTCCCCGACTGCAGCACGTCGTTTCCGTTTTCGATTTGTCGCCGCGTCGAAACGACCCCAAACGACGAGTGATAGACGGCTATTAACATTGTGATTTATGAACTTTCCAGCCTGAAGGAAAGCCTGTCTTTCAAATAGCAATAAATTTGTATTTTCCTTAAACATGTTTCAGCACTTGATGCGATTTAAAATGGATGGCTTCGGGTACTAAATATTTCCCTTTCTCCCTTCTTTTCTACCTTTTCGAATTGGATTGAAGTAAATTGCCCATTGAAAGTGGTTGAAGCCTTATCGATTCTCACATATTATAATAAGTGTCGTGTATACGGACGACGTATATTGAATTTTGCAATGATTAGCTGCAAACAAATTCTGCCCTTGACTTTTATTTCAAACTTTATTTTGACTGCACTCGGGGAATTTGATTTCATGATTAAATGGAACTTTTGTCCGCAATGACTACGGATTTAATCGTAAATGTGTTAATGCGTCCTTTCGGCTCGTGTTCTCGAAAGAGAAGCGTGGTCTGCATCGGCCCCTGTATTTCGTCAGTGATATTATTTACGGTCCACTACACGTGCTTTTCTCGTCTGCACGGCCGATCGCGTTAAATTACCATGCATCGCGGAGACTGCTGTGATATCCGCATGCAAAACTCGAGTGATATTGATACATTTCGCTTTGTATCACTCGCGAAACTGGCGGTCGCTTTTGTCAAGCTGGAAGGATTCGCATTTGCGTCGGATCTCTCAAGCCTCACGATTTTTCAGCAACGCGTCTCTTTATGCAAAACTCCGTGAAATTTTCGCACCGGCGAATTTCGCTGATATACGTCATTTCTCGTTAGATTTTTTTCAAGCTCCGTGATTTCGACGCAGTGTGTAGTTCAACACGATATCTCTTTTATGTCGATAACATTAACCGCATGCCAATCCTGCATTTGAAATCGGAATTTTCCGTTTCGCATATCGATACTATAATATTGCATCCACAATGAAATATCAAATTTCATTGAAATTCAATTTAATCAAGTTTCACGTTTTTTGGCATTAAAAATTATCAATAATTTTTATCAAGAGTAAATAACAAATTTTAATGCGTTAATTTAAAATAAGGATGCAAATAATTAATTGTTGATTATACATTATATAATTAGAAGAAAAATAACTTTTGTAACAAAGCTTGCTGCACTTAATGGATATCAACGAGGAATTTTTCAGAATTATTCTTCCTCGATTGTTAAAAATGTGCACTTTCAATATATTATAAAATATTTTAAAATAAAAGATAATTCCACGTAAAACATTTATGCGGATAAGTATTTCTCATATGTTAAAAAATAATATTTCTATTTTCATCTTTTATTAAATTTTTATATGTACGATTCTCATTTTTTTTAATTCGAAATGTCAATTCGGGATTTGATACCGACTTCACTTGAAGGCATTGTCTCACAACGCATAATGGAAACAGTTCTCATAACAGACAGCGAGATTGCTTCGGCAAATACCTATGTATGTGCATCATCATGGTAAGCTGCCTACACACCGTTTAACGAATCGATGCACAAGTTTTTATTGTGTAAATTTAAATTGTGTGACGATTACTTACTTAAATCGCAATATTTTTTTATTATTTAATCTGCTTTACTTTATTATATATTTTTTTTTAATTTTATTCTATGTTACTATACAATTTTTTATGATGGACTGTTCCATAATACATACTTTACAAATCTTAAAAATAATTAAAAAAAGACTTGAATATTTCTATATTCTTATCTGCAAGTGTGACTCACGCGAGTAATTTCGTTACTTTTTATGATTTTCGTGCATAACATGCGTGTACGTAAAACTGGCACACCTGTCATGGTGAATTTATTTATTAATATCCACTTCCTACTATTGTGATCTTTCTTTATAATTAATTATATACGTCATACATTGCGTTGTTCAATCTCTGACATTTACTTTTTATGAACGCGCATACCCAAGATACTAATAATGTGACAAATGCTTATATATAAAAGTCATTACATTTATAATAGTGTGCGTGTACATTTCCATTTAGGAAAATTAAGGTGAAGTAAGATCTTGATAACAATATATATATATGTATACCATTTTTATCTATTTATCTCTTCAATAATACAAGATGGAATAGTTCTGTATTCTCTTAGATACTCAAAGAAATGAAAGAAAAAGTGTTTTTAATTAATAACATTTACGAAACAGTTTAATACTAATTTTATAATGGACGATAAACGTAGAGAATTATATACTTTTTTATTCCACATGTTTATATAAATACATGCAATTTTGGAAGAATCTTTGCAATAAAATGTATCAGCTATGCACATGTAATACGAAAATGATTAATTCGATGACTCTATTAAATCTCTGTCGATTTTATAGACTTGCTGACTATGTTAGCATAAAATCATCGGTATTTCACATATCATATTCTTTAGAATTAATTTAATTCTCAAATACTGATAGTTTTCGCTCCGTAACGCACTTGTATCATCCCGAGGAAAAAAGATCTGTCAGCGCCCGTGAACTTGTGTTCGCTTGTTCCATCAAGCGCAAGAATGTAAGAAGTTAAATGCTAGCTCGTTCTTCCCGATCGGCATCGTTTCCTTCCATTGGCTTTCCGTGTTCGCGAACGGGTAGCCTAGGTCAAGCATTCGTGACGTTATGTGGGTCAAAGAACCAGTTCAACAACTGGGAACGATCGCGTACGACAGACCGCCTGTCGACGCCGGCCCGATGACGTCACGCGACGCTATTCTCGGCAACGCCGACGCATTTGCCACGGCTAAAAATAGGGACTGCGGCGGTGCACGACCGAGCGCGCAAAATGACGGTCGGCCAATGAGATTGGCTTGTTCGCTTTGCTGCAGTAGTAACAATAACAACGATCCTTATTCTCGGTTCCACTTCCCGATTTAAAATCCAATTTAAACGCATGAATGTGAAGATGAGCAAAGTAATTAATGTTAAGTGAAGACGATAAATAAAATTCTGATATCTTTAATATCAAATTTATTAATTATATTTGTAATAATTTCGACGTCTCTCGATATTTTTTACTTTTGAATCACGTACATTATAAAATTTTAAAATTATTGTATGTGCAATCCAAATTTTGCGCTCGCGAGCAAAGAAAGATTAAAATTTCTCATAATACTTGACAAATATGTGATTGATGGTTATAGAAGATCTTTTGAACCGCTTTAGAAGCTGTTATCATTCTAATTCATTCTATAGTCAACTCGTGCATTTTTATAATGAGTTTTTTTATAATAAAGATGTTGCTCTCTCTATAATGCTTGGACGGAAACGACTCGTGGGACATTCATACTAGAAATAATGCAGATAGCGATAATAAGAATTTAAGTGACGTCGCACTATTGCACCGCACTATTGCACTATTCGATTAGTCATACGAACTTAACATGGCAACGTTCCTTGTCGACCCCTAGATCTCAAAATAGCTCCGGCCGACAAGTTTAACCATGCACACATAGATATGTGTGTTCTCACATGGTATTACATGTCATATTCGTAAATGCAAATGTCGATGCAGATATGCATAAGATTGCCGCGAAATGTTGCAACACAGCTTGTCTGAGAAATAATAGTCCGTGACATGTTACGCGAGCAATTGTGCATACATTGACGCACATATGCAAATAAATACGTGAAAGCTGCGAAAATTATCGAGTCGTATAATGATCGCTTATTGTGCAAAGATAACATTGTAATTTGCGGCTGCAAAGAGTTTGCAGAACTAATTAGTAATATTGTCATTTTATGTCTGTTTCCAGAGTTCGCGTTGAGTACTACGTGAACGAGAACACATTCAAGGAACGGCTGCAGTTGTACTTCATTAAGAATCAACGTTCCAGTAAGTAAAGACTCGTTACATTTTAGATTTTAAATATCACGACAGGTTTCTACGCGGAAAACTAACAAATTTTCTAGATTCAAACCTTACCGAAATTTATATAAAAATGTGTGAGCATTTTTAAAAATATTGACTAATTTTATTTAAACTTTTTTATCGAAAATTGACGATGAAAAAATTTTATTGAAATATTTTACGCAAAATTTTCTCGTAATCAGAAAAGTGATTAAACTTATAGTTTAAAAAGAGAGTTTTATATTTGCATTTCATTTATATTTTAAACAGAGAGTTTTGCGTCATATTTTTCTGTTTATACAAATTTATTTGTCGTGATGCGATTGTCGTCATAATTGTAAAATTATTACACTTTGTGAATGGTATCACGTGCTGATATCGATACATTTGTAATATCACGTATCACACATCACGCGGGACAGATTTGCCGCCGTAAACTCATATCTGTACTTCTATCTTACGCTATTTGATAGCACTATTACAATCTATATCATATCATGCTTGCATATAACATGCAAGCATATGTAGCGCTACGATCAAAATAATATCACGTTTTTATTTATATATATAATTTCCGTTTGATTAAATACATTAAATGTTGATTCTCAATACTCCAAATACGATACGCAAATGTGTAATTAATAGTTAAATAATTGAAGGCAAAATGCAATATGTGTGAGCCGCGCGTAAGCCAAACTGATTAACTCCACGTTTTGCCATTTTTCCAATTTTAGTACCAAAGTACACGATTGGCGCTTAACTTTTCGTAAATAAAATAAATGAAGCTTTGTTTGATGGAGTTGGTTTGGCTTTTGAGCGGCTCATATTTCACGACGGAAATATTTTATATAAAATCGTGAGATATCTTTCGAGACAAATCCCAATGTGAAGTGCATCATCGTAAAATTGTTATATTTCTGCTAAATTTGTCGTGCCGCGGAAATAGCCGGATTGTCGACGACGTTCTTCCAGCGACTCCGCAAAGCGGTCTCGATTGCTTCCTTTCGGAATGGCGAAGCTGTTCTGAAGGCAATTTCGAGGATATCGCCGCCGTTGTCCTCGCGGATATCTCGAAAGTGCACGACCGCGCTCTTTCGGAGCTGATGACGGTAGCCGATAATAGATATTGTACTACCACGGATTTCTCTCTCTTCGGTATTGACCTTTATACCTGACCTGTGCATTAGGACGTCGTGAACCCGACAGATCAACGCTTTGTCGCCCTTTGTGGAGTTTGTTCGCGGGCAACTGGTTAAAGCACCTCGTTAAAACCACCTCGATGATCGGTCGATACTTGGCCTAAGCTTAAGCCGGCCTTCGATCTCGGTCTTAACAAATCCGTATTACGTAACTTCTACAAGGCTTATAATAATAAACTGTGAGATGGCTTTCTCCATTATTTTGCTTCATAATTTGTGGACTCAGAACGTTAAGTGATCGTTTAGGCGTCATTATTTTGGACTCTATATTACACCCTGAAGTCAATAAATATTTTTCTTATTCTTACAAATTTTTTTGTAAAAATAATCGCAAAAAAAACTAGAAATCTAGATCTAAAAACTTTGAGAAGTTTTAAACATTTTGAATTTATAAAATACATTTTATTTGAGGGAGCGTTTTTTTTTTACATAAGAGAAACCCAGTGTCAGATTTCATTACTTTTAGAGTAAAGATATTTTGGGAATCTTGGTGTCTTGAAAATATTTAGGTAAAGGAAACTATATGCTCATGCCTTCAAGGTATTTATACAAAGAGTTTATCGGTTGATAAAATAGTATGAGGCAATCTGTTTCTTTTGAAAAACTGTCCAAGTATAAGTTTAACATGTGTCGGAGCTTATATTTTTATGTATAAAAGAGAAAATGGAAGGGAAAACTTTTGTGTGTGTAGAAACATGTTTTATAAGAAAAATCGAACAATCTTTACAGCAGTGATGAAATTTTTGTTTCAGGTTTGAGGATACGACTTGCCAATCTCTTTTTCAAGCTGCTAACATGCTTCCTATATATATTCAGGGTTGTTACGGACCACGACCCAACATTTGCAGCATGGTAAGTTATTTACATTAAATATCTGAATATATTCTTTTTACAAAACATGAGTTTTAAGTCAAACAAGTTTTGTCTTTATTCAATAGCAATTTTTCATTGTTGTTTCATTGCCTCTCTCTTCTCTTTCAACGTTCAATTTTCTTTCCATATTTATCACACGAATTATACTTTTTGTTTCATTTGTCTAACGCGAGAAAACAGAAACGCTATGTTATTTTGTGTATGTGTGCGGTACATAGAATGTTATAACTTTTCTGTATTTTCTTTCAATTACGAATTCCTTGGCCGCTATATGGAATATTTCTAACTCAAAAATTGTTATTTCTTTATTTGCATTAAAAAAATTTTTACATTAACAGAACAAATTCTTGTTAGCGAAGAAGTAAGAAATTAGAATAGAAAAAGATGCGAGAAATCTAGAATAATCTACGCCGGCAATAACTGCCGTTAACTCTAAAAATACAGAAATTGCTTTATTTGATTTCATTCTTGCTTCCCGTTGTCGACGGAACGATTTTCTAGAAAAGTTTTATCTGCACAGAAAGAAATTTATTCTAACGCGCATGCAACGCAATATTCATGCCCAATGTTACATAACGCTCCTATCATGGTTGAGAATATAGCAGATAAGCCGTGCAATGAATACGATGCAGCGCGTTGTTGTTCGCTCATGTGAGAGAAACAGTGTTCTGGGGAGATTTTCCTCTCCACACATTTTCAAAAAGCTCACCACAACCGATATTTTAATTCTGGATTATTTTTTTTATAATCAACATTCTAACATTTATATAATATATCACTATTGTCTTTTTTATAAATAAACGTTTAATAAATGTAAAGAAATAATTTTTTCATAAAAAATTTGATTAGAGAAATAATTAATTTTTAGGACTGTAATTATCGCGATTTAATATTTTATCATTCCTGAAATTTCTTGCCGATAGTTATTGTTTGTTAACATCTCTTCATTTAAATTTGACTAAAATTCGTTAATACTTGAAATACTTCCATGATTAAGTTCCCGATCAAATTTCCATAAGAAGCTATTAACTCCAAATTCTCCGGGGAAACTGTCGCTGACAGGAACGATGATCTTAGTGAGGCGTCTTGTGTACAAGTTCCGTGCGTCGATGCGGAAGTTTCAATAGAAAATAAGTTTTCGATCGTATACGCGTATAAACTTTTTTTCGGTATTCGATATCCTTTCTATTCTTCCATGCAACTTTCATTGATATCGGAGCGTATTTCTCGATATGATCCAAACGACACATTCGATATCGAAAACCTATTGAACTCGTCCGACTTTTGCACGCAAATATCACGCGACAATCCGTCCCACCGTATCGACTTACTCATCCATCACTTACAATACTACTCTCTTTCTACTCTTTTTCTTTTTTTTTTAGTTTCGGCTGCACAGCTGGCAACAAGACCGAGTTCCTCGCGTCGCAGAATTTGACGGAGGAGGAATTCCAGGAGCACCCGACCATCAATTGGGATGCGATTCTCTGGGTCAGAAGACCCTTAGAGCTGTGGGTGGTTCAAGTAATCCTTGCGATGGTATCGCTAACCGAGGCCTTGCTGCTTGCTTATCTCGGTTACAAGGTATGTCTCATCCTTCACTTCTACAAATAAATTTCATTATTATTATTACTCTTATTGCTATACTTTATTAGTTGAACTTATTAATCTACTATCTGAGCATACTTGTTATTTCATTGACTTGCTCTTAAATAGTTTTGTAGTTTGTACAATTGAAGTAATAGCGTAGAACAGTAATGCACATATTTTCGAAACTTTTTTTTATATATTCAGTAAATCTTTATTATGCACAATTAACGTTTATATTGTACTCCAGTATGCATTATTTTATTATTTGTGCGGGTGCATATATTATAATTTAATAATTGATTGTGAAAAGCTATTTTATTATTGGACAAAGTTTTATATTATTCATATTTTGATTAATTGTTATGTATAATTTGTATTTTATAAATTTATCTTTAAATATTGATATGATCTAGTAGTTTTGACAAGATTTGCTTGCGATTAATAATTAAAAAATGTTATTTATATACGATATATTTATTTTCATCAAATATGTATTTGATGCATGATTCTGATATGAATTTAATATGTGCTTTCTTCTTTTTTCTACGTTCCTTCGTCGTCCTGCAATCTTTAAAATAAATTTGAGAAACATACATAAAATAATATAAATTTTTTTATAAATGAATCAGAAAGCGATTAATATGTGACTTATTAGTCCAAATTATGATCCACAATTTAATTATTCAGTTCAGAATCAATTGAATACATCGTATTGCGAGATTCATGTGTAATGCGAGCTATATATTTATTCTCGTGATTTGTTTGCTCAGAAAGAAAAATTCTGTCAACTAGCTTCGAATTACAAAGTCTTACATTGGAGCTCGAAAGTTTAAAGAAAATTAATTAAAGGAACGCCACGATATCTCCGACTAATAAAAAAATGATACGAAATTGTTTATAAACATTAATTTAAAATATTTCTCATCTTTTTTCACACTCACTCGCTCTCTCTCGCTCTCTGACACACACATATTCTTATAGAGTAGTGATGATATATGAATAAAATTTTAGATTAGTTTTCTGTGAACACTAATAACTTAGAGAATGAAAAAAAAGAGATAACTTATGTAAAATCATCATTTGATCTCGCCGTATTTTTACTCGGCGATAAATTTTCACGCGCGTGCAGAATTCGCGATATAATCTGCAACGGTCTGTAGCAAGTTTGTCACGCTATTCACTAATCGAGCATTCCGGTGATAAGCCGATAACGTTTCATCGATAACGCGGAGGCGTGCTATATATTATCAAATGTGCCGTTATGAAATTTTATAATACAATATTCTTCTTGCTACGAACTTAAAGTGCACGGACTTGCAGTTAATAAAGTATAGCCATTTTGAATTTCTTTAGAATGAATTCCGACATTTTATCTAAGATAGTCTCATTGAATATTACTCGTAATTTCTGTCACGAGAAACAATTTTTCATCATTTAAATTAAATTTTTCTCATATTTCTCATGTTTTATTCTTTTTAATTTTCAATTTTTTGAAGTGAAGAATAAATTGATGTTTGTAATAAAATCAAAATAGGGGATGTAAATAATATCGCAAGTCTGATGCCATAAATTTAACTCGTATTATTTATGAACGTATCTTTCGCTACCTTTTGAAATGTTCCGATCATCGAAGTCTCCGACAGGCGCAACAATTATTGAAATCTCCGCATAACGCTTACACAAATGCATTTAATAAGTTATATTTCTGTTTATCCGAGCACAATTCTGATTTAACTTGATACCTTTAACAAAACTGTCTCTATCTCAGAAGATTGATGTGCCAATGATTAACAAGAATACAATTGTTTATTGACACTTGTGACTTATCGATATTTTTCGCAAGACAATAACTGAAACTAAAAATAAAAAAATATCGGTATCTTATATCATTCAGCATCCTTAGATTTTCGCGAAAGTCCGGATGTGGTTGCCGGTGTTGTGGCTTCGGCAGTCACCTTGAGTTAGCAGCAGCTGTGCACTTCGCAAAATCGCATCAAGCTTTACTACTTGTGAGTTTAGTCACGAGTTGTGGAGTGGCTCGATGTCGAAGCTCCTTCGGGATCTGCCGGATTCGAGAATTAGCGGAGTCTTGTACGGATGCAACGTCGGCGCTACACATCGGCCGTGCTGTGTATAATATAATCGCGGCCCCGTCGATCTGTGAAGGGAAACAAATTGTAATCTAGCTCATAACTAATGAATTCTGGACTACACTTTACTCTTATACAGACTCGCGCGAACATTTTTCCGCCCTCGATTGCCTCTTGTTCTCTTTCTCTCTCTTTTTCTCACCGGCGATGCTGCGCCCGTCATTCTCGATTTACGAAGACTCCCCTTTTATCGGGTTTGAGAAGAAACTAAAGGCATCGCAAATGGAATTTAAAGAGTCATCGTTAGCTGCATCGATGTGTGCGGAATTACCTGGCGTCTCACGGCGAATTAGTTCAAAGCAAACTCATTCTGCTAAAAGCAGGTCTTAAAAATCCGTTTCGATCCTTTAAGTAACATAATACTCTAAATTTTCTTAAATTATCGTATTGTGAAGTTAATCTCTGTAAAGAGATGAAAAAAATCTCTAGAGAAGAGATGAGAATTTCGAAGTGATAAATATTCTTAAAAGAAGATTTAATCGGGGAATATAATACAAATAATATAATAAACGATCTATTCTTGAATTTTTATTATAAAAACAATTCATATTGCTATATTTTTCTCAGACAAGACTCTAATAAATTTTGTCTCTAATCTCACAATTAGTCAAACAAATTACGTTAAGATCAATGCAATGTTAACATCAGTAGATAGTGAAATGTATTTCAGCATTTTGAAATATTTTTCATTGAGCAATCAATTTTGAGTAGTTTTTATTATTTATTCGGGTCTTCATTCATTTTTAGGGGATTTATTTTCATATCTTTTACTTTCTAATTGTTTTGTACGATTATGTATCACGTCTATCTCAATTTTATCACATATTATGCTAAATAAAATGCTTCATCTCTACGCTGTGTCGTGTGGAATCATTGTAGTAATAAAGACCGACGAGTCAAAGGAAAACGTCGTTAACGCAGGATTATTTTCCTCGAGATTCTTTGCTCTCGCGCGCTTTTATTTCGGAAGCATTATTGTCGACATTGCCAAGGTGATTACGCCCACAGATTGCTACATATTAAAGTCAATAAGAAACAAATTACACAAAGCAGATTTGTTTAAATGCAGGAAAAATGTTTTTGTGAGATGTCGTTGTACAGTTTACATTTAAAATGCAAATGAATGAACAAAATTTCCACAATTTTAACACGATACCTATGCGACTTAATTATGTCTAATCTTTTTATTAATAACATTTTTAAGAAAAATCGAACTCTGTAACTAGTAATTTTCTTATTTACGCGCGCACATATATTGCAAATTTCATTGAAAATAGAGATGTTGACTATATAAAGTTAAGTCACAATGTGATAACACATTCACCAGGTGAACAGTATGAAGTCACATTAAAATCATATTTCGTAATCACACAACTTCATTCTGAAACATATCGAAGTTCAATATTATATATATATATACGAATACAAAAAAATCACGAAAGATTATAAATATTTTACTGAAAGCATCAAAAGCGAAAAATCTCTTTAGATTTTTCCTCAGAAAAGTTACGTTCATGTGACTTAACATAGTGTACCTTTGAGGTGCTCAAATATGTATATGTATGTATGAGAGCCGCATATAAATAGGAGTTTACCGAATGGCTGCGTGGATTCGAAGGAATCCCTCGTCAGAACGCGGGCAGATCCTGCAATCCTCTCGTAATCGTTTGTACGGGGTCTCGCTTGTACGAGTCCCGCTTGGCGAGTCGTTTGTGGGGTGCAACCACTGGCTTTTGTACACCAGCTCATTGAGCACGCTTTTCCAAAGAAATTTCAACCTACTTTAGAGCTAAAGTAAAGGATTTGCAGTGACGAAGATGTGCGAAAGCTCTTTAGGCCAAAGTAATCCGATAGAAATTATGTCTCGCGCACGGAGACTTTTCGTTATAAATTTTTGTCATGTTAAATAAGAACGAGGGGATCAGACTCAACGGTCGTTTAGAATATTCCGTACATTGTCGTGTTTATCTGAATATATCCGTGGGTGTGCATTTGTGGTTCCACGCAGCAAATTAAATTTATTTTATATTGCAAGATGCATTATGAAAAAATTTATTCCCAATTACTGTTTTCTTTCTTATGAGACGTTTTATTTTTCTTTCTTGCGAGTTTTACTTTGTTCAAACGTAAAGACGTAAAAGATTGCAAAAACTCATGACGTCGCGTTTCGTTGCTTTTGATCTTTTGAGATTTAAATCCCGAATCCATATGAGTGGGCGAAATTGTAAAAGTAGAAGTCAGAAGTAAAAGTTTCGAGTTATATATAGATAGTTAATGGGGTAACGAAATAGTCGTTCTCTTCCAACAGTGAGTTAGTTTTCTTTAATTATTTGTTTTCGAATCGCTAACCTTAGTGATTATTGCATACTTCAGTGTTAAAAGAATCGAAAAAAATTTTAATGCAATTAAAATTGTTTCAAGCTTATTTCTTTTTAAAGAAATATTTGTAATTACACGTATGAAAATGTGAAAAAAATGTAACAAAATATAAGTTACTGTACATTATTTATTTTTCTGTTTTTTTTCCTCTAGAAAAGAAATCTTGTATAAAATGGAAAGTTTAATAATTTACGCAGGACGGAATGTCTATAACATAAAAGCAATTTTTCAAGATAATTCTTTAAGAAGAGGAGAAAAAATAGAACAATATTGTCATGCTGTTATAAAACTTATACATTTATTATATGACAGGTATTGTTATTTAAAGCGGTAGGTTTTATGCAGGCAAAATGTGGCATCTATTTATTTTCTAGTAAAAAGTTACAGTATATGCCATGTTGAATGCTGCTGAATATATTTTTTGTAAAAAAGATGTTAATTAGAAAGCGGGTATTTTAAGACACTTTTCATAATGTGTCAATTTACGACATATATTTCTCAGCATTTAAATGAATTATTGAAGACAGAAAACACATACATTTGGATTTTTATTTTATGATCACTTTTTTTTTACTTTTTAGTTTTTTTATTTCTACATAGTTAAATATTTTACATTTGAAGTATTAGGTAGATATAACTTTTAATTAAATAATTTGCAAATATTTAAACTTTAAATTTGTTATAATTTGAAAAGTGATGATACGATATTTTTATGCACGAAAAAATACTCAACTCTACAATTACAAGATATACATTATTATGATAAATTATGCTAGAAATTGTAAAGAATCTTGGTAAACAAAATGTTAGGTCAACAATACGATGAAGATTTGTTGCAAAAAGATTTTATCTTTGCATAAATAAAGGATATATCTCGTTTTAATTAGGAACTTACTTTGAATGCGAAGCTTTTATCAAGATAAAGAGTCAGCTGTTAATGTCAAAGAGACGCGTAATATGATGAAAGGTCGTGGTCTGAACAAAATTGTAATATACGCGTCACGTTCTCGATGAAGTGCAAGAGATATAGCTACACAGTCAACAGTTCCGACGAGCTCCGACAATAAGGCGAAGAAGTTCTTGATCTGATTACGCTCGTATTCACCTTTTCTGTTTCGCGACTAAAGTTAATTACTGCCAGCACTGATGCGGCAAATGATATTTTTTATGAAGCAATCCGGAGAACATAATTTGCAATTAATTCTTTTACAACTCCTCGCGCTCAACGCGCCATAACGATCTTAGAAATCGTTTTGACGATTAAATAAAATTACGAGCATCAAACTCGTTAAAAATTTAATAACAATTAAATGAATTATCGTGTTTATTTATAAATAATTACTGCTGTTATACTTTCGAGATTGATTTTCAGATAATGCAGGACGGCGAATATGCATGTTTACTTTCGGAACGTTATTCACAGTTCCTACATTGATAAAATTGTCGCTGGGTATGTTGAGCTGTCTTTGTAATGTTCGCAGGGAAATGTCTGGCAGCAGCTTCTATCCTTCCACTTCATCCTGGAATTGGTTAACACCATCCCATTCACAATTACGGTGAGTTGTTTTACACATTTATATCTTTATATTTCTTTTATATATTTATATAAATTTAATTTCTGCTATTATTAATTATTAACAATATAATATTTTTCTATGCGTATTATTTTTAATTTTCACATCGAATTTTGTTTGGCATATGAACAATTATTAAATCGCCGGTTTGTACAAAATTTCGTATAATTATAATATTTTATGTAAATTATGTGATGTAAAGAATGTAATTGTATTTTTTTTAAGTAAAATAATCAAAACGTACAATTTTTTTTATATTACCTGTAATTATCTGTTTTTAACATAAATAGAAGGGAAATCTTGATAATGTCGAAAAAATAAAGTTTACGAGTTACAAAACACATAATCAATGACACATTTGCGTGAAAATATGCGAACTTTATTCGCAAACAAGTTGTATATTTCTGATGTATCGATTTTTGCACATCCCATAGGGAATGACCTTTATCTCATGATGGACAGTACATAACGACATTACGTGTACTCGGTATTGCGTTTTGGAATTTAATTAGTTTAACCTCATTAGTTTTGGATCATATAATAGCATTCACATAGCACGTAAATTGGCTACACAAATTGCTTGTTTCACTCGTACATGTATCTTCTACAATAGTTATTAAAGAATTAAAGTTGTTTTCAAAACTATAATAACATTTGGAGAACAAATTAATTAACTTTGTAAAATTTAGTACAATTAATATATCTTTATTCCTATATTCTGTTGCGTATATTGAAGTAATATTCTTTTATCATTCTTTATAATCGCATTTTCTTAATTTAACAAATATTATTTTATTTATTAAAAAATTCGTTTCGAAAAAAAGATTAATTATAAGCAAAAGTTTATTTTATAATGTTTTAAACTTTACGTTTCAAAATGCGTTTCAACGTTTTTAAATCACGGCAGGTACGAACATATAAAAATATGAAATGAAAAGTATTTTAATAATGCTTAGACTTACATTTTTACATGTTATGGTTAATTTCCGTAAAAATCGGACTGCACACTAGAATTTGGTACGTAAGCTCTCTGCCGTTAGCATAATGGCGGTCTTTGATGCTGGGAAGCAAGTATAATGAGCAAACTCTAGTTTGGACCAAGCAACCGCGTTCATTGTTTGCAACGCAAATATCTGCGACTGACTGATAACAGACGTAGCTTTTATGATTACCACGCACGGTACAGATCATGGATTGATGAATGCTTGCCCAACTAATGAGTTAATTATTGAGATCCAAGATAAGTTAAATGTTTAATAAAAAAAAGAGGGATAAGGTAACCCAGATTTGTCGATAAAATCCGAACTGCGACTGATATAAACGTACGCAATTCTATTACAGTCTACACCGAGATAATCTTCTTTTTCCAGTTTTTTTACGATTGAATACTCGATTACAAAAAACATTATTTTCATTGATTGAACTAAAAGCAATAAAACAGTTAAATTTGATTCTTTTTAATTAACGATTAATTTTTTTAATTAACGTATCACATAATGATATTAAAATGCCAAGCTACTTTTCTGAGAAACTAGGACAGAGCTAATTAATTTTGTAATAAATATGCAAGTCATTGAAAATACAATATGTAAATTACATATACAAATGTTAAGTAAAAAAATTTGTGACATTTAGATATATAAATAAATATTAGGTGAAAGGCGGTTTAACTTTGTTTCATTTTTCCAGTTATTATATCCACCAATGAGAAATCTGTTTATTCCGGTGTTCCTAAACTGCTGGTTGGCGAAACATTCCCTGGAGAATATGTTTGTGAGTAGCTCATCTAATCCGGTCGTAACTTATGTGAAATTTAAATTTACTTTGTGATCGACGTAATTGGTAATCACATTTCAGAACGATCTACACAGGGCGATGCAAAAGTCTCAATCGGCGTTGAGTCAGCAGCTAATGATCCTTAGTGCTACATTACTGTGCCTTGTCTTTACTAGGTGAGTACTCTAAAAAAAAAAAAAAAAGAATAGAATAACATTACCACATAATACACAATTTTAAGAACTTTCTTCCGGAGTGAAGAAAAAATACTTGTTTATAAGAGAATTATAATTCTTTATTTGTGTTTTTTTTAAATATCCGATAATTATAAAAGTTGGAATAATTTTAAACATTCTTTGTAAAATATTTATGCAGTATTCACAAAATTACACATCACAAAATTAAATTTGATTGATATTTCAGTAAGTTAGAATTGATTGATGAATCTATAGATAAAATGACGCAATATATTATTATATACATATCTTTCAACGTGTAAACACAATCTTGATGAAAAACACTAATTAAAATAGTATATTTTATTTTCATAATATTATTAGTTTAACGAGATAACGTGACGTTGAGTATTTTAAAGGAAATATTAATTCCAAATGCAACCTTTTTCGAATACTCTGTTCTCTGTTTCTCTGTTTGTGCCGTACGTCGTTAATTGTTTACCGAATTACAGTCAATGTTTACCGGCGGTTGTTTGGCAGTTATGGACTAAGTTTCCTGGACAGGAATTGTGTGGGGATAAACTTCGGTTAAGCCAGAGTAAATGTTTGGCGTACCGCAGACATCTAATTACTAAAGCTTTATTGCGTCCGTAAATGTATACGAGTCTTCGTCATGAAATGTTACAATTGAAATCATAGTTAATTAACGTTACAGTTTGCATAAACAGACAGCACAATGATTAATACTTTTTTAATAACTTCAGTATCATAATTTTTTAAATTTTGCATATTTTATTACATTTGCTTTCATAATAATATTAATTGAGACAAAATTGAAAAACTAAATTTTTGTTAATTTTTTCTCAGTTTTTTTTTTTTTTTTGTTTTGAATACCCTTTTCGGACATTGTAAATATTTTAATGTCATGTGCGCTGTAATTAACAGAGATAATTGCGCGAATAGACTCGTGAAGATCACTTTGTTCTCTTTGTTCTACTTACTTCATTCATCAAAGATACATTCCTAGCGGGACAACTTGAGTTTTCAGAAAGTAAGTTTTTAGGGAGAATTAACTGACAATGAGAAGAATGGTCCAACATTCTTGAACTTTTAGTCAGTTTTAATTTCTAAGTAACAGGATTTCATGCAATTTTTTTATTTGATCGGAAAAGTCGTTTGATTACATAAAATATAAACGTATGAAAGAAATTATATGTAAAATATAAAAAATTTTAAAAAGGCAATAGTATCAATCGTGTTGATGCAGAAATTGTTAAGTAAACAGTCTTTGAATTTGATAATAATTAGTATTATAATATGTTAATTATCGACAAATTTATTTGAACCGGTAATATTAAATGGACATATATCTAGTCAAATATCAATTTCGCGTTTCCATATTCGATTAACAATAAACTGCGATATCGGCGCCATCCGCTTCGTTATTAAAGTGAATGAATTAGGAGAAATTGTCGCGTGAAACTATCTCGTATTTCACTCAATATTGCTCTCGTTTGTTTCATTTGCCACGCGCTTGCACGTGAGTCTCAATCCTCAATTCAATTTTCCTTGCGTGAATTTCGGTTCATTAATTAAAACATTGTTAAAGAATTCTTATTGTTACGGAATTATAAAAACAAACATTGGTCTTTGTGTGCACAATTCTGTAATTTAGAAGGAATAACTTTACCAATCAATTTTACTTTAATTATACGTATAAATTAGTACGATTTTATGTGCAGCATCCAGTAGTAATTTGAGTGGCTCGGTTTGAAAATATTCAGTCGAAAAGTATCCATACAAACTCTACTTATTGGATAAATTATTAAGTTTGAAAATACAAAATTATGTCGTTATCTCAAGATTGATTTAATTCGAAGGATTTACAATTTGCATGCAAACACTCGCGAATTGTTATTTGCGACGGATTTAAGTCGTGATACCGCCATGATGAAGTTTCCGTCATGGCATTTGCGAACGCGTTATTTAAGTTTAGGTACATAATGTATTTCATTTGCCGGCGTGCAGGACTTATTGTATTATCCGAATAACGAGAAAAGTTTCCCGGCCGGAGTAGGAGTTCCCATTTACGAAATCAGGCCGTGGATGACTGCAGTTCGTCTTGTTTAATCTTCTAATAAAGCTGGATTTATAAACGACGGCGCAGAGAAAGTCTAGATTGCGAAAATAAACAAATCGTTTGCATGCGTAATGTCGCTGCAATTTTGGAAAAGTGTTCGCATAATTCGTACGTTCAATAAACTAGTAAAAGTTAGGAAGACGTATGAATATCGACATACATTATGAACAATGATCAAACGCTAATTAAAAAAACAATTATGTAATAAATCTTCAATTTGAACGAGTCTGGATAGTTTAATATATTTACGAATACAAGAAGATAATCAATATAGCTGAGATATATTGACAGCACATGTATAAGTTGACATTTGGAAACTTAAAAATCAAATCCTGACATTTTAGCTAACCTATCAGAGCAAAAAGCGTTAGGATGATAAATTTGCGAAAACAAAAAAAGAAAAAATAATTTGGCCGAAAACATCCGCTGTCGATTATTAAATATTGACGTTGATCACGCAGGTGTGAAAAAAAAACAATCTCCTGTCATATGCAGATGGAGCGATTTGCAACATCAATCGTAGATTGGTGCGAGTGCTGCAAATCACGGATAATTTGCAGCTGTCGTTCAACAACGCGAAAAAATGGTGGTACGGAAAAATTTATACGCGCACTTCGGAAAGATAACGATTTGCGTTGCAGCTGAAAAAGTAATGACTCGTGCAGACGGTGCAAGTTACGGCAATCAGTAACAATCATCAGAGTTTTGGCGCCACATTAGCGCCAAATGCGATGAAGTGTGCACTCGAACTATGTTGCAGTGCATAATTTTGCTATCTTGGAAAATGGACTTTAGTTAATTTTTTTGCTAACTTTCTTTCATAGATATAAGTAGAGTTAGAGTTGAAGGGGGAAAAAGAGTTGCAGCAACAGTCGATGATGGCAATAAATATATAATCGACTTTCCCGGGAATATTTTAGAAAATTTTAAAGAAAAATAGAAATTGCATAGCATAATGATATAATAATATTTTACATACATTTGATAAATTGTATTTAAATGATTCAGAAAATACTTTCAGAAACATTACGACAGATGTCACAAGGGAATGATAATTTTGATAATTTATTACCGCTTTTTCCATCTTCTTTTTCCATCTTTTTCAGCATTTTCTCATACATTTAGTTTCTACATAGCTCGTCTTTTTATCGATGTTGACAATCTTCATGAAGCGTAACATTTCAAAATGCGAGTTTTACAAAAAATGAAAGAATAATGGAGTACACGCGAAGCATCTGACACGATAAGCTTGATAATTAGTTTAAATAAAGGTTCAACGTGCAGAAGTGAGCAGACTGAATCATGAATCAGTGCAATCAGCGGCTGTCCTTTCACAGTGTTAGGGACGAGCGAGAAAATGACGAAACACATCTGATCGACCCAGATCGCAATGTGGGACAGCCGTTAATAAATAATCGCACGCCGGCTTGTGCAGATGGATTCGTATCACCATCGATCGCGGCGCTTTATTATTTACGGTGTGATTCTAGAGCGGCGCACTTGCTAGCTCGCCCTTGCACGGGGCTGTTATCTACGACAAGGACAAGCGAATCAAGTATCGCGACCATGTAGCGAATCTGCGTCACTTGAAAAGAGTTGTAACTTAGAGAGCCAAGATACAAATCAATAAATAGATAAGACGAAAGTGGTTTTTTTGATTATTGAAAGACATGGAAAAGACATTTGATTGCGCGAATGATGAGAAATAAAATAGAAAGAACTTAAACAAATCAATCGTGGAGATTGTGTATCAAAGCACTGTTTGCAAAAATGTTTTTAATTTAATTTTTTTATATAAATAATTACGTAATGGACTGTAATTTGATTGGTAAAAAATTATCGAAAGAAAGATGCTTGTTGTTATCTTTATGCTATCTTTTATCGATTTAATTAAATTGAATATTATTCTGTATTGATCTTTTATTTTAAGTGAAAAAAAAAAGATTTCCGTTATTACTTTTATTGTTAGATATTTATGTCTAAATTAGCTGCAGTTGTGGAATTCACACAATCTTCTTTCCTCCAAAATATTTAATTATTGCCTCCGTCAGCGAGCGGGTTGCTTGATTTTCGTGTCGCAAACTTAGTATGCGTGATAAGCATTGTTTCAGTTGCATGCTATGCGCTATCACATTTTCCGACTTAACCACTGATCAGCTTCTTTTACAGGCAGTCGGCCACTTTCATACAGTTAACTTTTCTAAAGCCCGCATTTTTGTAAATTATACTCGACAACGGTTAGATCGGTTTCATTAATATCGATGCAAAACAACTAGCAATTTAAAAGAAATTAACAAAAATTTATTCTAAAAATCTAATTTTTTATCATATTTGAAATATCTCTCTTCAAAACATTAATATTATTTAATAAAAGAATAGACGAGAACCACTTTAGTTTCTTTTGAAAATTTTATTCATAAAAATTTAATCTTTATTCACGAATTAAATTTTCTTATAACGTATCTTGAAAAGAATTTTTTTTAATTTATATATTTTTTGTCGTTTTTCAAATAAATTTTTAATTTACTAATTAACGTTATGCTTGATCGTCTGTGAAAAATTTTGCTTGAAATGGCGATTTAAACACTTGTACGGAGATGAAAATCTCATGCCAGTAACCTTTGCGAGCGAGAATTATGTGCTATTCCTGAGTATTTTCATTATTTTTAATGATATGCAAAGTTGCACTTTTTACCGTCGCGTTGGCATTTATGTTACTGTAATATCTGTAGCATCTATAGTTACTTAATACGTTATATTAGCTAGAGGTATTGTAATTTTTACTACTGTGGCATTTAATTTTAATTTTCTATTTAGCCTTGAATTACATTTTACGAATGGTAATTTTCTTTAAATTTTTTAAGAACATGCCTGTCGCAAGATTTAAAAGATAATGAGAAATATTTCAATAGAATTTATTTATTTGCTAGTCATTAATTATTATTATGATGAAATGTTGTTTATCACGATTAAACAGGAAAAAGGAAATCTCGATACTCCGGCAGAAAATATCTGTTTAATATATCCATGTGATAATCTCCCTCAATAGAAATTATAAATTAAACATAATTGCATTGATTTAAACATGTCGTGAAAAATATCGTATTTGTACGATTAAAATGACATACATTTTTATAACGAGTAATATTATTTTGTTTGAAAACATTTTCCAAAAAGAAAAAGAGCAATTAGAACTTTTTATAACCTTGATTAGAAGCTAAACAGAATGTTTTGGGAATCGTCAAAATATTTTATTTGCAAACTAAACTTTGAGATATGGACAGTTTTTTAACTTTGAAGGATGGACTGTTTTTTTAAAATTTGTGAAGAATTTATTTCGACTACATCATTTGTTTTCGGGAAATAAAATGTACAATTGAATTGAAATAGTGACACGAAATTCGTTAGCGAAAACGTGCTAACAAACTACAGCGCCGGTGTAGGGAGCAATACAAATTTTTACGAAAATGTGTGACTTTATTACTTTGTTATTCGTACGCGAAAACACGACGAACTGACGAACAAATTTCGAAGGCAGAACGATGGTTTTGTTCTTAGCGTAACACTTTTTTTCACGCACGTCTTCGGCGTTCTCTGTAAATGTTTGACATGAAATAAATTTCAAAAATGTATACTGTATTATTTTAATGTTATATAAACAGTTGTAAAATTCATAACTTTTAGAGTTATCAAAGAGTATATAATTTTATTTTTATTTATACAGTTATAAAATAAATTGTTTATTTAAATGTACATTGTTTTATTGTGTTAAAAGCTTGATAAAAGAAAGAGAACAAACGCGAAACCATCACATTGATGGATGTTACAGAGTTTTATTGCCAGTTTTAGTTATTTTATAATAACATTTTCGGTTTAGTTATTATAAAATAATGGTTTTATAACAACTACACTGCAAAAGAATATTTCATTTTATATCGCTAAGTAGTGAAGACCAACATATATAAATTAATAACGATTTGTTAACTCTCTGTTAGATTTTATTTTTTTTAAATGACATAGGTTACAAGTCAAACAAATTTAGTCATAAATAAAATACATGAAATATCTATAGCTATATGAGATGTTATCAAATAAAGTCGATTCACTTATTGTTAATTAACGTGCGATGATGCACACTCGACTGTCACGGCACGTCGAACGGACGCGCGGTGATGCTACGGTGCGGGCGGACTAGAGAAAAGGAGGAAAAATGAACAAGCGCACAAATATACACATCGATATAGATATAGAAACGGGGCCGCATGCATAATGGATGCCGGCCGTTTATAAACCGCCGCCCGGTATACTGTCGGCGGTGGTTTTCTCACAATCGAGTTCAATCTCTTCTCCTTCTTGTATCGTTACATCAATTCCGAAGTACGACGTTTACCTCGTCTCGAGTGGTTAGGCTAATTGTACATTCGTCTTGTTATGGCAAGGGGCGCCTGAATAAAACAATTTCGATGAAAGGTGAGGTGCTCCCTTCGCTGAGTAACGCAAATTTGCTCGCTCAAGTCGATGTTGGATTGATTAAGCTGATGCAAAGGTTCGTTACGCTAATTGCAATTGGTTTTTGCAAAACTACCAATGTGCAGCCAATGCACTAATCGCTTTGAGAGAAAGAATTTATTAGTTTGCAAGTTTCTTCAAAACGAAAGCTAGAAAATTAACAATTAAACTGGCGATTAAATTATTGCTTATGAAATGATTGCTTGCGTAGTGATGAAAATTTCTAGAAAAACGCGCTGTTTTGAATGCTAAAAAGATTAAGTTAAAATAAAGAGAATTTGCATATTTTGACAATCACTTCGAAACAGTTTACCATTTATAATAAAATTTGTGTTCAGATATTCGCTGTTATTTTAGTACATCAGATAAAAGATACGTGTGTCTTTACATAATCTATAAAAATCTTAAAATGTTTGTATAAGGACGATAAAATTTCTTGCCAGTCTCTCAGAATTTTTCGCAATGTTATAAATAAAAAGAAATTTTGTTAGTGTTTGATAATAGAGTTTGCTCTATTCTCTCATAAAAATGATTATTAATCTCGATTAATTCTCAACGGCTCGCAATTTAACGCAGGTGACATCGCTGACAGTGCTGCGTGACTATAGAAAGCGCAAATTTACGTTAGCTGCAATACAACGGCATACAGCTATATAGACGACGTGGATTTACGTCGGACGCATGCAAAGTAGCTGCAACTATGCCTCTATCTGTTCTCGTGACCATTCTCGATTAATTGTAAGATGGCGCGATGAATTTTCCGTTTCAGCGTATGCGGGATCCAACATTTCCAGAGAGCGGGACACAGGCATTTAAATTTATTTCAAAGCACGTACTACGTGGTGGTGACGTTTTCCACGGTAGGCTACGGGGATTTCGTGCCGGACATTTGGCCCTCGCAGCTTTACATGGTCATCATGATCTGCGTAGCGCTTATAGTGCTGCCAACGCAGGTGCGTATATTTTTCAAATACGTAGCTCGATGAAAGACATCGCTTAATTTAGTTGATCAAGTTCTAATTTTTCCCCGACTTTTACAATTAGATTATAATAATTGATAATATCATACACACATATACATATGTGTACAATAAGTGACAGAATAGACGAATGAGATCTGAAGAATAATAAAGGTTTTAGAAAATATTGAAATAATCCTTTGTGACTGGTTTTATTAGTGTGGTTATGCGATATTTTTCTGCAAGAGAACTGAGGTGCCTACAAAGCTCGCGTAAAGGTACTGCACTAAACTCGTATTCATCTCGTTTAATGCGAGTCAGCCGCGGTCGTTACAGTGATGTTCGCCTCATGGACTTCTTTTATAGGCGTTATTTTCGAGTCATGCCACGGGAAGCTCGTAAATGTACCGAAACACGGCTCGTCTTAGCGACCATATTGCCGCACGGTTGACTCTCGCCGTTTTACGGATATTTATTATTCCGTTCAGCCGCCAAGAATATAACGCTTTTATTTCTCATGTAAGCAGCGAGAAGAGAGATTAAGTTTCACGCACGTTTCTGCGTGTCCATAAAAAAAAATCGGTGGTGTAGGGAATATTTGACGCACATTGTATTCAATAAAGGATGGAAATCATAAACGGGACCATTTTTTTCATTAATTTAAAAGCAACTTTTTCTTGATAAATGTTTCAGTTTAACTTGGGGATTGCTGTAAAATGACGGTCAAGGGATTGAATTAATTTTTGACAATTAAAATCAACAATAAAATCTGATAAAAATTATTTATTATTCTCAAAAAGATTTAATGTGAGGTTCAAGTAGTTGGATAATATTGACAGTCAGGAAATCAGGAGAAATATAGAATATAAATTAAATCTAAGCTCTTTCAAGAATCGTTATTTTTAACATTATTCTTTCGTCTATTGCTAGCAGCATGAATATTGTCCGTTTTATTTTCTCAAATCTAAAAACTTGGGATGCAACTTGGACACATATTTGCGCGTACATGTGCTGCAACCTCGCAAGAAAAAAAAACAGGGTAAATAATGGGGATACTGCATGTGCCAACAAAGATTTGTGTACTTTTCACGATGTGCGTTACCATGGCAACTTTTCTTTCGCACAATTGATCGTTGCTGGTACCAAGAAAACTTTGTACGACAAACCTTCCACGTTACTATATGTCAGAGTCTCGTTAGCGATGCTATTTGAAAATTACTTTGCCTCATATCGCGTTACATATCGTGTGCTCCATATAGGAAATGCACTTCTTTGAAGATACTTTCTATATTATTTATATATGTTATAATATTCTATATCTTATTACTGAAAATTTTTTTTCCATAAACTGAAAAACTTAAAATACTTTTAAAAATTTAAAAACAATTTAACGTTTTTTAGAAAACGTACAGTAATAATCAGAGATACAGTAATCGCAGAGAAAGAGAGAATCAAATATCCGTTTTCGATCTGATTAATCGTTGAATTGGCTTAGCGCTTAATAAAGATTCGATTGACCAAAGAATATTACTAATTACACAAAGCGACAGGGGCAACTCGTGTCTACTCGTTGTCTGTTGACGTCGACTGATTGCGTAGCGTTCAACACGGAAGGCTTCGTTGATCGCTGTAATTTGTCTGTCAAATTGCCTGCCAATTGCATACGAGATGCCAACTCGTGCTAGTCAATACGATGTGTCAACCCCTCTTCTCTTTGCGTCTGTCCTTTGCGTTTCTGCATTTGATTAAATTTTGCTTTGAACGATGGAGCTATACGACCGTCGAAACAGCATAGACGTGTTAAAATTTATTCGATGTGAAAATGCCTATACTTTTGCACGATAAATTGCTGTTGCAATTCTGTTCAATTATATTTTCAGTGACAAAATGTGGTAAATGCGATTGAAATTTGCAAGTAAAATTTATAAAATTATCGTCAATAATTATATATATGTATATGTGTGTCTATGAGCCATTCATACGAATTATCAAAATACAATCAAATAGTTATATTTTTGTTAAGTAAAATATTTGCCATTTGTAAAAATTTTAATAACAACTGATTAATCTGTACAAAATAACATTAAAAATATTATTTATATCTTATATAAAAAAATTTTATTCAAAAATAATAATTTCCATAAATGATAAAATTATTTTGTTCAGGGTTTTTCGATTTGTGAGAACGTGCCTCTTCATATTTAAATGCGAATTATATTTTTATTAAAATAAACCAATTTATTGATAAATATTTCATTTATCCAGTACTTTCGTGAACGAATATTGTGTTTCAATTAACCTCATTATATTTTACACAAGCAAGCAAATTAGCGGATAATCATTATCTCGTATTGGTTGCAGTTCGAACAGTTAGCTTTCACATGGATGGAGCGGCAGAAGTTAGGCGGCTCGTATTCGTCGCACAGAGCGCAGAGCGAGAAGCACGTGGTAGTTTGCAGTACGACGTTGCAAGCCGACACCATCATGGACTTCCTAAATGAGTTTTACGCCCACCCTCTGCTGCAGGTTAGGCAACGAACAAATTACACCCTGCGCATATTTCACTTCGCTTTGCACCAGGAGACTTGTGATTTCATAAAAACTCTTTGTCGAGCTTCTGGTTGTTCATAGTTCAAGTTGATGTCGAGTTTAAATGTAATGTTGCGAGTTATTCAATACAATTTGCCGAAATCATCAATATACCGCTAATTGAACAAGATCGGAAATGCAATTATATTTATGAAAAGTGGTAATTTTAATTTCGACTTGATACAAGTTAATTAGGTACGAAAATAGACGGCAAACATATCGCTTGCGCGATTATAAAGATTGAAAGAGTTCCAGAAATACGAGAATATTAATTAATTATAGATTTTATGTTTAATTATAGAGAGCTCCACAATTATAGATCTTGCGCCTGTTTATTTTGTCGTTATTAATATTAACGAGTGGGGATAATTTAAATACAGGACTATTACGTGGTGCTCTTGTCGCCAATGGAGCTTGATACTACGATGCGGATGATACTGCAAGTGCCGATCTGGGCGCAGAGAGTGATTTACATACAGGGTTCCTGCCTGAAGGACGGCGATCTCGCAAGAGCCAGGATGAACGAGGCGGAAGCCTGCTTTGTGCTGGCAGCGAGAAATTACGCCGATAAAACCGCTGCTGACGAGCATACGATACTCAGGTCAGTGATCAACAGCGAAAACAGCTGGGCATGAGCGTTAACGAAGCTTATAATTACCGTTGTAAAATCAATCAAATCTTTTCTCTTTAATAAACTTTCCCATTACGAGAATTGCAATCTCTCATATTCTTCGCGAAGACCTACTTTGCGAACCTCGGATCTCTCTCATTATGTTACACTTTGAAGTTTAAATACGAGTTAAAATGTGTGCCGTTAATCTTAATCTTTTATGCTTCAAGTTTCAAGTTCATTTATAAAGCGCAATTTATCCTGCGGTATATTCCGCCGCTTGTAGCATCCGAGATATTAAACTTAAATAATCAGCTCTTTTTTGCGATTTGATAGTTCCGTTAAATTCTATATTGAAATGAAAAATTCGCAAATAGGAGATACGACAAATCGAGTGCATTCTGAGCTTGCAACAAAACTTTTTTTTAGGGACAGCATGGGATTGAGAACTAAATTTAAAGAGTATAAATTTTTTTCGTAACTTCTTGTTTGACAATAACATGACCATTCTAGGCAAATTTAAGCGCATGTTGTTTTTATTTCATTCTGCGCTACGTTTAATTCGAGCTTGAAAACGTATCCGACGTTTATGGAAGATTTAATTTGTTAATTCTAGATCGTGGGCGGTGAAAGATTTTGCGCCTAACGTTCCTCAGTACGTTCAAATCTTCCGTCCGGAAAACAAGCTGCACGTGAAATTTGCAGAGCACGTGGTATGCGAGGATGAGTTTAAGTACGCCCTTTTGGCGAACAATTGCACGTGTCCCGGTGCATCGACATTGGTCACCCTGTTGCTGCATACGTCCAGAGGACAGTAAGTTGTGGTTGAAATGTACCACAAAGCACTGTTACATAACAGATTTAGCAGTGTAGGACCACATACAGATTTTATTGCTTGCCACATTCACGTGGATTATTCTTATAATTTAATTTTTGTATATTTAAAGATTGAAAAGAGGAAAAGTTTTCAGTTGCGATATGTTTAATGAGATGCTAGAATATAATGCAAATAAATTATGTATTACCTTCGTTATTCTGTTTAATTGTAAATACGTTGATAAATTACACGAGGACGGAAGGATTCTAAATTGGGACTTTCCTCTTCGCAGAGAAGGTCAACAGTCGCAGGAGGAGTGGCACAGACTATATGGTAAATGTTCCGGCAACGAGATTTATCACATAATTCTCGGCGACTCTCGCTTTTTCGGGGAGTACGAGGGCAAGTCCTTCACCTACGCGTCCTTCCACAGTCACCGAAAGTACGGAGTCGCGCTTGTCGCAGTTAGACCGGCGGAGCTTCCGGAATTTTACGAGGACACGATCCTGCTAAATCCTGGTAATCTTACGGGTCACACTACCGGTTGTCTCTTTTCCTGACATCTTCAAGTGTTTTATTTTTAATAAATGAAAAAAGTCGATGTCGAAACAAATAATTTGTACAAAGTATTCCAAAAGTGGTGAGAAGAAATTAAAAAAAAATTGTAGTGGTTAAAAATATACGAAGAAGTCAACGCAGAATCTCGATTAAAGTACGAATTAAGTGCGGAGAAAAGTTGCAAGGCGTTGAATCTTGAACTCCTGTGCACAGGACCGCGGCACATAATGAAGAAGACGGACACGTGTTATTACATGAGCATCACCAAGGAGGAGAACTCCGCGTTCGTGGTCGCGAATAACCAAAGCGGCGTGGGCGAGGGCACGCAGGTGATCGTCGAAACGAAGACGGACGCGAGCAATGGAGCGACAACGAGCGCCGCGGCGACCAACACCACCGCGACGGCTATGAACTTTACGGGGATGATGTCGGCGACGACAACGGCGACGACGACCACCACGACGACGATATCGACCAGCTGCACCGGCGGAGGCGATGGGAATGGTACAGCAATCAGCAACGGTGCCGATGCGCACCAGCGATTTTCCAACAGTTGTAACGTTGCGCTGAGCGAAACATTGCGCAGGCAGGAGACCTGCACGGGGCCCCGTGCACAGGATCGACCGAACGGTCCCCAAGGTCACAGGGCCCCGTTGCCACCGCAGGTTATTTTGCAGGTCTTTCCTAGCACGCCCACACCAATCCAACACCACAACTTACTCGCATCCGATATCCACCGTGAGTGTCGCATGCGCCTCGCTGCTTCTTCTTTTTTAACTACTTTCTCTTCTTCTATGACTTCTTCTATTACTTCTCTCTTTTTCTCTCTCTCTCTCTTGTTTCAATTCAGCACGTTATTATTAGTCAGATCGCGCATACCAGAAATTTGGATACCCCGACAAGTTTGGACAAATCATTAGATCAATCAATAGGTGAGGTTCGATAGGCTCAAATTCTGATTTCAGTAATCTTAGGCACAGATTCGCACGCATCGTGCGATCTGCGTAGACTTGATCGGTGTTTTTTAGTAATTAAATTTAAATATTTTATAATAATTTACGGATTTAATCATTTTGGAGCTCTTTGAAAACCAGTACGTTTATCTGAAATAAATCTTTCGATAATTCTTAAGTAAAGCTCTTATGTTAAAACCAAAACCTTAATACAAAAGGATTTCAGAGTGAAACTACTGGATACAAAGAGTTAATGATGTAAAGTGAGCACTAAATTGCACTTAAAAATATTTTTAATTTATTAACTTAAAGATATTTTTATATTTTTTATTACTTTTTTTGACACATTTATTTGTTGCACTGGTAAATTTCAGTATAGTTAAATGTTGCTTAAAAAGTTATCCATAACGCTTATAATTGTTCAATATTTTAACCTCATTGCAACAAACATACACGTACACACACAGGACACAACGCTTCTCGGCTATAAATGTAGAGTGTTAGTATATAATAATATAATTAATATAATAATAAATATTGCTCTCAGAAAAAGAAGGAACAATGGCAGTTTTTTATTGTTATTTTTATTTGTTTTATTGTTGTCAACTTTTTTAAATTTATTAATTTAATATAGTATGATTTTTTTGTTTAATATAATACTTCTGTTTCTCTCCAGAAGCTTATAAATTATTTAAAAAATTTAAACTATTTTAATGAAAATCTACTATTGAATAGTCTAATTTCTAAGACGTTTATAATATAATATGATAAAAAACTAGCAAAAAGTTACACAAATTACATGTATTTACGTAATTTTAGTTTTGAAATATCTTCGCCCATGACTTTACTTCATCATTACTGCAAACTACTATTATATTATAAAGCGAAATTACGTGAAAGACCGAAGATAATAACATATATCGAATTATACTCGCGATTAAGTTTCCATATGCAGCGTTAACTAAAGATTAATCGTCTGAAACTCCGTTCCTTCCTTTTCACCTACGTCTTTCTCGCCGTAGTTTACGGCATAGTTACTTGCATGTCGCTTTATGCATGTAATCTGCGTATATTGCGTTACTGTTCATCGATCATCAACATTTCTTGATAAGTGCGGTTTCTGAATGAGAAACTGCAAAGTTGTACTAAAAAATATTATTTCTTATCCGCTCCATTGTGGATTTATTCTTGGCATTTGAATTATTCCACCATATAGATTTCGATTGTGAGAGAACTGATATGATAATCTGAAATATTATTGTTTATACGACGCAATTTCGTAATTATATATTAATGAAAAAAAAGAAATTAATTAAAACGAACAAGAATGGAGGTAAGTTACTTATCAAGTACTCAAAATATATAAACGTAAATCTGTACGTCGGTTATAAAAATATAAAATAACTAAAAGAAATAACATTTCTTCTTTCTCTATTGCAAATTGTTTCTGTTCCTCTTTGTTTTATGATACGATTGATACGTGACGGATTTACTTAATCGCATCACATACTTTCTCATTCATCATTCATTTTGATAACATTCTCCTTTACGGCGATTCGCAACTTTGTAGGGCTAATCAATATCGCGAGGATCAATTACGATATTAGAATAACTTATCGCTGTTGACTTCTATGTGTTGCAGCGACTTATCTCGACCCAGGAGGATTCGGAGATTCACGGCAATGTCTGAAAGAGGGTGGATCGACACCGCAAACGCCAATCACAGGAAATCACCTTGACGTGCCACGATCACTTGATCCAAATCCCAATCTGCTTAGTCCGGAAATTCTAACACAAAGGAGAGGTAAGTCGTAAACCCATGATATCTTTGATAATACAATCATTTTTATACGAATTCCATATTTTTTCTGATAATAAAAATTATGCTAAATTCAATCCTTTATTAAATAATATGCGATATTCTATAGCTTATTATTTTATAAAAATAAAAATCTACTTTAGTTTTTAATGATAATCTTTCATGAAATTTAGAAATTTATGAAATACAGTTAAGTTGACAATGAAAAGAAATTTGTTTTATAGTCATGTGGAGTTTCAAAAACATTATCTATTATTTTTCGACATAATTTCGTTGAAAATTTACTTTCTTTATATGTTTGACATACTTTTGTTCATATGTGTAAAGTAGGTTAAAGCGCTAATAACTAACTTTTCCAACGACTTTGACCGTCATCTCTGACGACTTTGAAAGTCGTTTCTAGAAATAGATGCAACCTTTTGTCTTCTTGTTTATTAAGTATTAATATGTGCATCCTTGTAAAATTAAAAAATACAGCTCAATTGGTAAATTAGATGTGTATACCTGACAAGTGTGTCATCATATTGTGACTTAACTTACAGTCAACACGTCTATTTTCATTGAAAACATTTGCAAGTAAAAATTGGAGTACAAAGTCTTGTGATAATAATAACTCAACTTTTGAAAAAATGTGACTTAACATAATATACTTCTAAACTTATATATATAATTTTTTTCTTTGAATTTGTTTTAAGTGACGATTAAGATAAAACTTTAATATATTTAAACTTGTTGGAAATAAGTCTTCGGAGATAATGTTTTTATAAAATGTGGTGTCTAAATGTGAAATATTTCGTGATACTTTTTATCTGTTTAAACCTTGAAAACATCTTCTGTGATAAATGTTAAAATAAATTTTTCTTAGCTTAAAATGTGAATTAAGCGCATATCGTCTTTCTACATGATATTTAAATTTTTCATCTCGAATAACTGAGTCCTAAATTATTATTTTATTTTTTTAATATTATTTTTTATATCTTTTAATGCTAAATTGTGCTCGCAATATTATGTTCCAATAAAATATAAATCAACTTCAGATTTGTGAAAGGATTGATAGTTAAGAAAACACTCTACATATCGATCTTCTTATTTACATTTCAGGGAGCAGAAGACCAAGTATTCTACCAGTACCAGACATGTTGACCAGCTCGACTCTGCACTTACCTGGCCAAGAATCCTTAGACCACGAAGGCGACGAGTCGGAGGACGAAATGGATGACGATGTTCCCTGGAGATCGCCGAGCGAGAAGATTGCGTAAGTATGTTTTTTCTTTTCTCTCGCCAACCATTGTGATAAATTACGCTCGAGAATTCGTGGAGATATCACGACATCGATCTTTGACAATTAATCCAGCACGGAGAAGAGATCTCGTTGAGATTAGCGAAATCAATCGAGTAAAGGGAATTATTAGCAGGAATTTATGTCTCTTCTTTTCTCTTTTTTTTTCAATTTTTTAAATATTTGTTATGAATATCTCGATTCTAGCACGATCGTTATATCCTTTGGGGATAAACGATCTCGCACTCTGTCTCGTGCATCTGCATGACGCGGTCTTGTGCATTCGATTTATATGTGCATTACACATATACATACATTTTATATCTCTGCATACTGTATATATTATATTTTTTTTTGTATCTGCACAAATAATCAAAAACGTTTAAAAACAACTCCTAAAAAGAGAAAAAAATTTTTAGGAAGTAATTAATAAATTAATGAAAAGAAAAGTTAAATATTATATCAACTTAATCAATCTTTTAACGTTATTTCTCTTCTTTTTTTTAACTTACACGCGTCATATTACGTTTGATGTAATTAATTTGTGATTTGTATATGAGATTCTTGAAAAAAACCAAAAATTTGGAGAAGTAATTCAGCCTTTTTGATTAGAAAAATTATTATACATTAAAATTTCGCAGAGAGTTCAAAGCGATCTTTTGAGCGACTCATGTTCTGTATGAAATTTTTTATTGAATTATTTGAATTCTTTATGATTCTCTAACATAATTTTTATGCACTTTTATCACGCATATTAGTATTTCTCTGATTTATGCGCGAGTGCGCATATACATAAATTAATTTATTATCTTTAAAATATCACTTATCAGCTTTGAGCATTCAGGTTACCGCAAAGTATCTTAGAATCAGCAAGATAACAGTACAATTTTATAAAGCTTTCTACATTTTATTCAAATTTTAGCAGGTAGAATTTTTCTTAAAATAATGATATATTGTTGCCTGCCAATTTTTAAAATTCTATTTATCAGCACTGACTTTTATTCCACATAAAATCCCGCAAAAAGGCTTTTGTAGAATCAAGTTGGAGACGAGGTTATTCTTATTTTCCTAAAAAAAAAAAAACGGTACTATCGCACTGTGCTTATAATTTAATGACATCGTTAGCACTAAAATGTGGGCGCGTCAGAAGCCGCCATGATTGCATCGTTCATGTCATCGTAAAGAGAGGGCATCACCCCCGGCTTTTTGCGATGCTATCTTAAATATTTTCGATATTATCATTGTCTTGTCAGCGGGACAGCGTTAGTCCATGCGAGCGTACGCGCCGTCAGCGTGGTGCGACGACCTGCACTTATTTCTCTAGCTTTTGTAACGAGCAAAAACGGCTGCAATTAAAAAAAAAAAGTTAATGATTCTAAAATTATGAAAAGTTTTAATATTTGCTTCTAAACATTTTGGCAATCAAATTTTTAAATATTTTATATTTCTTAATTTAATATTTAATAATTAAATACATTTGCTGTTCAAATAAATTGTGCTTTTAAAATATTTTGGGCAAATGACGAAAAGCGTCACGTTACTTTTCCAATATTTATTAACTCTCTATAAGTAGCATTAGTGTGCTATGCCTATATAGCTAGCAATGAGTACAATTTCGAATACAATCGCTTATTCCCGTATAGTTAATGAAATTTAGAATATAATTTTATAAAACAATATAGAGCATCGAAGTAGGACCTGAAAAAGAGATACAAATTGGGTTTTAAATATTTTTAGATATATTCTTTTTGTAATATTATTTTACATTTTTTTTTCTCCGCCCGTCTTTTCGAACATCTAACATGATAGATAAATCATTAAGCATTTTTATTCGAGACGCGAATGTTTTGACGCACCTTAGTTTTTTTTTTTAATTTTTTAAATATAATATCGTGCAAGTGAATAGTCGATGTGTCCTGTCTCAATGTCTCTCAATGCCTGTTTCACTAAACGGCACCGGATGGTGCCGTTGAATTGCTGCGCGATGCTGTCCTGCCTGACACCTTATATGTCCTCATGGATGTTTTCGATGTCTTCCTTCTTGCATCGTCCTTGTGCACTGCCGTCTTGCCGCACAACTTTCGTCAAGCAGCTTCAAAGGGTGAGTCTCTGGTTTTATGCTTCTACACATGTCGGTTTGATTTGCTTATTATTTGTTAATACATAGTTTATTCATTTCATAATTTTATTTTACTTTTTACAATACATGATACGTTTACATATGTATATATATTATAATATATCTCCAATTTAAATAAGATATACGTAGTATATCTTAGCTAAACTTAGAAGTTTGCTTGTCAATGTGATGTCGATGTCGTAAGTATACGTGAAAAATAGCAGCGTGCTTCTGCGAGAAATCCGCTGTCGATACTTCCGTGATTTCGTTGTTATAAAAATGTGTTATTGATATATAAATAATGTGGATAAAATATGATTTTTATATTAATCTTTTTAATTAATTACACAACTACGTATAATCGTATCAAATTTACAAAAGGATAAATAAATAATATATATGGGGGTGTATATATAAAATTATTTCTTATAATTATTAAAAAAGATAAATTAAGAACTAAACATAAATATGAAAATTCTACAGCAGAACTTCGTATCTCGAGCATCATTAACTTTATTGTAAAGAGCCTTGAACATTTTCAGCAGAATTAATCGTTGATATAAATTATTCTAGAATATAAATTACAGACGAACACAAGTGCCTCGAGTGTGATAAATGTTTCCGGTTAGACACTATCCCAATCAAACACTATCTACAGTTCGCTGTTTGGATCGCGTGACGCGATGATACTCACGGGATCTGAGCGCGGTGCAAAATGGCTTGTCCCTTTCAATCTTCTTCAAGAGACCTATCTCCGGCTTTCAGAGAACCTTGAAAACCGGTAAACGACGAGTTGAGAGTGCTAAGCTCTCTGTGGAAAAGTACGTCTTCGCGATAAATCGAGATGAGGCCTTGTTAATCCCGTAAAAACTGCGCACACACGTGCACGGTCACATAGCTAATACAAAACATAAAAAATTAACTCAATTTTTCACTTGAGAAACTCCACGGACAGTTTTGATAAAGCGACAATATTTTTATCAGCCGACGAACATGCCTTCTCAAGTAGTCGCGTTGTTTGTTCGGTCGTTCTCAAGCAACTTTCGTTAATAAAAAACACAGCGCCGAAATCCAACATCATGTAGAGGGCGTCGGGGCGAGATAATCAAGTTTCAACGGTGTTGCAGGATTGTCAAGGGATTCCCACCGGTTTCACCCTTTATTGGAGTTTCACCAACCTTGTGCTACCTTCTGAAGGAGAAGAAGCCGCTCTGTTGCCTTCAGCTGGCTCAGGTATGCCTAATTTCTACAATCGATTCTCCAGAAAGTGAAACTGAATCGTAAAAATCGTGACCGAAATGACGTTGATGTTTAACATTCACAATCTACTTCGTCGATCTATTAGGTGTGTCAGCATTGCAGCTACAGGAACGCCAAAGAGTACAATTGGCAGAACAAGACCATCATACTGGCGGCGGATTACGCCAGCAACGGGATTTACAACTTTATAATACCCTTAAGGGCACATTTTAGGTACTTATTGTATCAGTAACGCGCCTCAATATATGAACATGTCTTTTGGACTGCTTATTTAATTCGACAAAATTATTCGCAGAATTTCTAATTATTCTGTGTAAACAAAAATTTCATTATTTACTTTGCAACTAGTTTTATTTTTACATCGAAATAATGCGAACGATGCTGAGTAACTTTGAAATTTTGGCATACCTTTAATTTAAATACAAAGCTATCTATTTCTTTATGTTAATTTTATTTTATTTATTAAGAAATTATCTGATGATTAAAAAATTATGTATAGAAGAAATTTGTCGATTTATCGTTAAACAGAGTTAACGGATAGCTAACGAGCGAAAGTATTTTTTTTAGATCGAAAACGTCGTTAAATCCGATCATCCTTTTACTGGAGAGAAAACCGGAAATCGCATTTCTCGACGCAGTGTCCTATTTTCCATTAGTCTACTGGATGCGTGGCTCCATCGACTGTCTTGACGATCTTCTTCGGGCGGGTATCACTTTGGCGGAAAATGTCGTGGTCGTAAATAAGGAGCTCAGTAATTCCGCCGAGGAAGACACTCTGGCTGATTGTAATACGATCGTTGCAGTACAGACTATGTTCAAGTAAGTGTGTGCATTTCTAACGAAAAATCTGATAAAACATATTTTGGTTTGAGTGGAAGAGTTTATAATTTAAATTTCTAATTAATTTCTTACAAATTAATTTCTTTAAGAAAAATTATAATTTCGCACTAACATCCCGCGACGGCTCTCTATGTCTTTCTATTGTATTAATTGATTGTTATCATTTGAGCCTTTCCTTTATATGTGTTAGATTGTTTTAAATTTCTAATTTTTTTTTTAACAAATTTTTTAGTTTAAGAAATATATATATATGTATGTTTCGAATGTGTGCATTTTAATCTCTAAATACGCAGTCTTTTACATCAATGTTATTTTAATGCCGCGTTGAAATAATTGTTAGGATGTAAAATGTGAAAATTAATTTATGAAAATTATTAAGTGCAGAAAAAAGAAAGAGCAAAAGATACAATGTTCATGAATATACATCACGTGGAAGTAATCGATAAAATTACGTAAACTCTTTAATGCGATTATTTTTCTGTTGATAGATTCTTTCCAAGCATAAAGAGCATAACGGAGCTGTCCCAATCGAGCAATATGCGTTTCATGCAGTTTCGGGCGCACGACAAGTACGCTTTGCATCTCAGCAAAATGGAAAAGGTACTCCTCAGTGCTACTACCGATGACAACTACTCCGCTGAGCCTTCGATGGGCTCCCCGGTAACACGATATCACTCATTCTCCGACCTCTGATAATGGATTGATTGATTGTTGAATTGATCGATTAACTGCCAAGTATCTTCAACGTTGTTGTCGCTCTTGTACTGTCGCAATTCACTTCATTCGATTCCTAACATTGCACATGAATTACAAAATTAATATTAACGCGTAAATCTAAAATTCGTGATTTACAAACAGATGAAAGTGTTGGCAAACGTGCACATTTGCTGCTTGTAAAATTGGTTCTTTTTTTTTTTTCATTTTACCGCGCATACTGCGATGTATTTTCCAGCGCGGTTTTTATACAAATCTAATTGACGGCGGAAGCGCGCGCACGCGTGTTCAAGGTTGCGGAAAACTTAAAAGGACACTTCCCGAGATTTGCGTTTGCCGACCTCGTAAGGCCGTCGGAAGTAAGCGGAAAGAAATTACGAGAGTGAAGTCATTTCGCGCGGAAACCACTTTGCTTTAAGTGCTGCTTTCCGCATGCATCCTTGTTGCTCCACTTGTCAACCTTGCCAACGCTTTCACAGCTTTACTTTGTTCTTTGGCTCGCGATATTGACACGGAAGAGTTGAGATGGATTTTTTAATAGAACTCTGAGGAAAGCCAAACATAACACGTAATTACATTATGATCGGCATCTCGTTATAGCATCGTCGAGTATCTTCATATTTTTATTATATTCAATTATATATTGATTATAAACAGTTTATTAACGAAAAATCAGTATACAAATCAGAAATATGTACATATATAATGTCAGCAATTATAAATTTCAAAAATGCAAATTATAATTGTGGATAACTGGTAAGAGCGATAAGAACGCGCAAAATACTTGCAACTTTATGAAGTCATTTTGTCAGTATGCCGCTTATAAAAATCTAGATATCGATGCATGAGTCACGATAAACTCTCCTTCGTCATATTTTATATGCAGATACATATTGTCCCGTTGTGTTTAATATGTCAATAGCTATGTTCCGTAATGGTTTTTAACATCCATTTGAAATCATAGCAAATATTATGGTGACTCACGCTTTGAAATTAATGCTGTTTAATAGATTAGATTCTCCCGAAGTACTATAAATATTTCCTTTGTCTTCCTGCAAGTATAATATATATTATTTCACTTTCCCATCTTCCTCTAAAGCATGATATTATTAACTTGCACTACTCGAAAAATTGCCTATAATCCCTGTACAAACTTTGCTACAGTAGCGTGCAAAAATTTCCGGCCAGTAACATTTTGTACTCTAAATTTATAAAAAAAAAGTTTAGTGAAATTTTATTGGACTTTTTTTTGTTTATAATTTAGAGTACAAAATGTCACTAGCCGGAAACTTTTGCACGCCACTGTATGTCAGGTATGACGAGTGTGCAAATTGCACTTTAAATAATAATTTATTTCTTACAACACGTGACACGAATAAGTAGATGAATAAATTGTTAATTAAATTAATTGAATGTTTAAGGTAACAATATCTGTGGCTCGAAACTAAGACAACTAATATTTGACGAATAATTTAGAAATAGACTGATGATTGTGATTTTAGAGCTTGAAGCTAACAATACTTATTTTAGCTGTGTCGTGAAAAGTGCTATTAGATATTTTAACAACGAGCTACAGATATATTAAGTCTCATTATTTTATTACACATTACGTTTGTAGACCAAAATTTCCATAATATCAAAGTTGGGAATCCTTTTCGCCCTCGTCGTACCCTGTTATGCCACACCATTACGCGATAGCACCTAGATCTTCAATCTTCTGCTCTCCATTCTTTCCTACGAGAGAGAAAGGGGGGAGGATGTGAAATTGCTCACGTCACGTTACTTTCGTACTATAAAGTTGCATGGTGCGATACGATATGTTTGAAGATTTGCATATTTTAAATATCCAGCTTATATTATAAACATAGAGATATCAAAGTAGAGCCCTCCCGTTACAAATATCAACTTCGGAATCAGAATTGGTTGGTACGACTGGAGAAGAAAGTGGAATGAGTCAATTCAGCGCGTCATCGTGTAAATTAAGCACACACATTTGATGCAATTGCGATGTGTCGTGGCGTTGCGTTGGATAGGTTCAGATGGATCCTTAATTTAACGGAACCTTGATGATGTATATGTTGTAGATTTTTAGACAATTGACATTAAATATATTATACACCACCACACTGTAAGAAATGACTAACTTTTTTAACAACTTGTACATTAATATGGAAGATATGAATGCTTGCATTTGGTTGCTAGAAATTTTTATCAAAGCACTTAAAAATTAAAATTATCGTTTCGTACTCAAACGGAAAATATTGACATGAGCAGTACATATTTAGATAAAAGAGAAAAATGCACGTTATCGAAAAATGTAACGAATTCTAGGAACAATTGCATAGCAGCTGATGATATTGTGTAGAAATGAAATCAAATCGTAATCGGAGATCGGCAATGGTGTTCGCAGAGAGAAAAGGAAAGAGGATCTCACATATCGTACATGTTCCGATTGCCGTTCGCCGCCGGCAGTGTCTTCAGCGCCTCAATGTTAGACACGTTACTTTATCAAGCGTTCGTCAAGGACTATGTTATAACATTTGTGAGGCTATTATTGGGAGTGGATCAAGCGCCTGGATCTGGATTCCTCACTTCGGTAAGCAATCGCGTAAAATATAAACAGTTGTCACGACATATATTTATTTTTGTGAGCCATTTTTAATATATTTCTAACAATTTCTATCTATTTTTCAAATTTGAATATATGAAAAATAAAAAAGTCGAATCTCAAGAATCAAGAGACTTGATAATTTATTTAGACAATTTTTATATAGAAGTTGTTACCAAAACGCTACTTAACAATGCTTACTATTCAACGTTATCGCGAACGCGATAATAATGATTGCAGATGCGCATAACGAAGGAGGACATGTGGATAAGAACGTACGGCAGATTGTATCAGAAACTCTGCTCGACCACTTGCGAGATACCAATCGGAATATACAGGACGCAGGACACCACTGTGTCCGATTCCTCGCATGTAAGTATAATTCCACGTTTTTTTTTCTTATCTGGGGAAAAGTTTCTAGCCGAAGTAGTTTGTTACTTGTCTATTTTCTATAAAGACAGGAAAAATCTCTGAATGGCGGCTATGAGTAGCGCATGGTTGTGCTCTCGCTCTTTCTTTTGATTCCCTGTTTCTGTCTTCTCGTGGCATTTCTCGGCCTAATCCTGCCGCGCATAAATAACTCGTGCCAGGACCGTTACATCCTGACGAAGCGACTTTCATAGCACGTTATCTCATTCCCCAACTCATTAATCTTTGCGTCTTTGGAACTTGCATCGTGCTAGACTTAGTGTTGCTCATGACGTTTTGCTTTCGTTGACAACTTTAATCTCCGGTATGTGATAATGATAACATATAGTTAACGAAATATGAGTAATTTTGGAAAGCGTTTGACGCTATAATGTTTGTACGTAAAATTTTGGTATGCCTTGACATTTTTATTTATAAAATTTCCCCACGAAAACGAACACGAATCGATGTTTGCAGTTTGAAAGTATAGATTATTTCAACGCTGTTACTGCGTTCCGAGCGTTAACGTCCCCAGCGAGAAGCACGCACTTCGATGGAAGAAGTCGATCGATCTAATCGTTATCATCGGGCGGCAGCAATCCGTGCTGCGCTCGGACGCGTAATACGGCGCTGTGTGCGTGAAATCGCGGCATCAGCGATGCGCTATCATTAGTAAGGTTAGAAATTGCTTGTCGTTTTAGCAGGGCGACTCAGACGCGGAAAGCGACACCGGCGTCGGTGTGACGTACAAGGTGCGTCATTCGGCGGCAGCATCATGCCTTGCGAATTGCGCGACGCGCGACAAGGGTGCATCTGCTGTGAGTAAAACGTCGTCGTGGTGGCTGTTCTTCTCTTCCGACCGTTTTGTGTCTTTCCGCCTCATTCTCTCTATTCTCGCCTCTCTCACTGTCGCGCTCTCTGCCTCTCTCAATAATACCTTTCTCTCTCTCTCCTACTCTTTTTTTTTTTTCTCTTTCCCCTCACACTCTGTCTGATGGACGTCCAGGCTCGTCTGCCGCAGCACAGCAGCGCATGTGAAACGCCATGTCGTTGCATCCCCGACTGATTACGCTCAGGAATTTTCGATCGCCTTCGCAGAGTCGCAGCCGTTTTTTATCTATTGCTTAGGATTTAAGGTCAATCGATTGTGGCGCTCAGCCGATATCGAGAAGGTGGCTGTAACAAGTAGCGATAATGGTTTTTATAATAGCTTGAGAGCCGCGTGCATCAAGCCACTTGTTGCATGTGGCACACGATAATAAAATACGTAATTGTCTCTCTAATTGCCTTTGTTACATTTAACAGATAATTTATACGCGAAACATGAACTGATTGTCACTTTCGAAAAGCTTTCGTTTTACATTTCGTAACGGTTAATCCGTCGCTTCGTGAAATCGAAAAACAGTTTCCAAAGGATTAAAATGTTCCACATAATGCAATATTTTATTTTATACTGCACTTTTTACAAATAGCACGTAATTTGAAATGCACGATGCCTAATGTCACTATCTGTGCAAAATTAATAATACGCACACGAGATGACCGATGGCCATTTATTCACGCCACCTCGTTGATATCACCGACCGTCACGCCAATCTGCCTGTCTCGGCAAACGCAAATATCTTAATGCTTCATCGTCTTTTTCATGCACCGGCAGTATTCGGTGAGTCTCGGCGACGAGGCGCGCGACAACCACGCACAGCAGATCGAGCGCGCGGAGATCGCGAATCTGGTGCGCTCGCGGATGGAGTCGCTGAACCTGCCGGTCGCCGACTACGACGACGTGTCGGAGAAACGCAACAGTCTCTCCTACGTGATTATCAATCCGAGCTGCGATCTCAAGCTCGAGGAGGGCGACATCGTCTACCTGGTGCGGCCGAGCCCGTTCTCCGCGCAAAAGACCTTCGAGCGGCACAACTCCCGGCGCAAGAGCAACATCAGCTTCTGCTCGGCGCAGCTCGCGTCCCAAATGAGCGCAGCGGTCGCGGCCGCGGGTCTGCAGACGGGCGGTCCGGGAAGTCGTCGCGGCTCCGGCATAGGCTTACCCAGGGCGCCACCTTTGGGCACGACGAAATCGAATTCGCTGTCTCTGCCCGACAGTCCGACCGTGGCCGGCACTCTGCGCGGTCGCTCGAACTCCCTCAGAGTCGTCGACGACATCCTGCTGCGGCGCAGCAATTCTCTGAGACAGGGCCTGACGACCAGGCGGAAGAGCAGCCTGGAGGACATCGGTCTCGGCGCGCTCTCGCATCCCTCCAATCACAATCCGATCAAGATCGCCTTGAACGGCTCGATCGGCCTGGAAGTGACGCCGCCTGAGGAGGGCTCGCACGGCGGCGTCGGCGCCACCAACACCGGCATCCTCGATGTCGGTCTGCCCTCCATGCCGGAGCTCAACGCGGCCCTGGGGCCCAGCCTCGGCGCCGGCCTCGGCGGCTCCCTGGGCGGCCTTTACGATCCGCCCTCCCTCACGATGCCGATGGGCTCGCCCTGCCAATCGCCGCAGATGCAGGGCCCCGCGCAAGACCCGCAGCACATACAGGGGACAATAGTATGATATAACCTTATGTGGGGACGCAGGCTCTCCGGCGTGGCGCGAAATAAGTGGCTGTAAGCGTTCCCACATGGCGTTCAGAATCGGGCGTTAAGAGCAGCGTCTGTAAACGGCGCTCGTAAACGAGTAAGAACATGCACACACGGGCGGCGTGTATCTCGTGGGACTGACCAAGCCGTTGGACGAGACGGCCGGAGAGCAAGGTGTTTCGACGAAACCACCATCTGACCGGTGATTGTTTCCAGCGTCTCGAAGGGTGCTTCGATGTTTCTCCGAGCAAAGTGAATTGGGGCGAGAGATTATTTCGGCCAAATTTTTCGTGTCTGTCTGTATTATAATTCTTGCGCAATGTAGACGTACACGTAATTCAATTCTTTTTTCCACATTCGCGCAAAACAATATAAACGAAAATTTTGTTGCAAATTCAGAAAATCGAATTAACGCGATCGATTTACGAGAATAATCAAGGAGCTCGTAAAAGTGACACATCATTGAAAACTTGTGCGCTAAATCTTGATTCCAGTGCCAAGTTAATACTGTTCAGCTACTCTCGCCCCAATTTACAGTAGCATTTTCTTTATTGCAGCGAAGCGGCGCGATATATTTATGACAATTCGTGGACCTAACCGCAGGTATATCATATCGCAACTGTGATACGCCAGACGTTGATTCCCTGCGGAAGTGTATGCTTTCCATTCACGAGAACTTTGTTGCAGATTTCAATGCCACCGTCTTATCTTGTGAATGAAGAATCGCGTCGGGCGTTTGTCAGAAACTAGCAATTTACCGCTAGAAGGCGATGTTACGAGCTTCATTTCAGTATATCTTACTTTTGTAATTCATATCTGTAGCAAACCGCGTTCTTAAAACGTTTTGCTCTCTAGGTCGCCTCTAGCGTCGCTTTTTGCGACGTCCACGCATGCGATTTCATTCATCGGACAGTAGATCGGGCGAGTCAAGTGCGAAAGGCACTTAAATGAAGCGCGTGATGACGGCGCGTTTATTCGGAGTCACTTGCGATTCACATATTTGATGCAAATTATTGCACATTGATATTATTTTTTTCGACTCTAGAATTAATTCTTGAGATTCGCTATACTTTTCTTTAAGACAAAAGTTTATCTTTAATTAAATTGCAGTGTAAACAATTTTATCTACTTGATCAATATCTGATTGAAGTAAAGTCTATGTTTAAATAAAATAATGTGATAAAAAGTTTGAGAAAAAAACTGTAAAATTGCAAGCCATTTATTAGCTATTCGACACAAAGAAGTACTTTCTTCTAAAATATTTAAAAAACAATTTTTTTACTTAATGTTACATTATTTATGATTGTTAACTGTTAAACTGAAATCACAATTAATTCAATTGATTCCACTCGTTCGTTATCCATTTCACACATTTTCGCAAAAGAGATACAAAAACGAGAATATAGCAGGAATGAGAACACAACGCACTCCTCGATTCCTACTTATTGTTAGCGTCAGCGCTCAGCGATCGAGCGCAAATAATTTTATATTAGAGAGATTTACGGCGAGAAAGAGTCTATTATACATATTATACAGTTACGATGTATGACCATTTTAATCATATCACGCGAGAGTGTTGTTCGCGCGGAAGTCACTGTTATATCCTACATAAATAGGAGGAAGAGTATTTTAGACAAGACTTAAGTGCTTAGAATACGCGCGTATATATTATCATGACTTTTAGCGTGACTGATAAATCATCCACGGTGGATTTAACGTCGAGTCGCAGGACGATTCTCGACTATCACAATCCTCCCTGGCGACGCGGAAATTTACGGTCGATATTTCGAAACGATATAGACAAAAAAAATATGGCATCGTAAAAATTACGAAATAAGCGAGAATTGATCGCGAACAAACCGCACGAGAACTACTATTACTACCTTCTTCTTCTTCTTCATTTACTCTATTAGTTTTAATCTTGATCCACGTTTCTTGGGCATGAATCGTCCCCAAGAATTAGTTATTCTTAGCGAGCGAGCATGATTGTTCTCGCTTGATATTTTAATAATTCGTTCAATTAGCTAGTCGGACACGAGGGTCGTTATTCATGACTCAAAACAGGTTGCACCAACTGGATTATAATTACTTAACTGTGGATAAGGTTTCTCTGTCCATTTACAAATAGCCATATTACATTTTAAGTTGATATCGATAATATAAGCGTTAAAAAATAAAATTCCAAAACTCAAAAAATTTTTAAAAGTTATTTTGAAAGATTTAGCACATCTTTTAGATATCTTTTGGATGTTTGTGTGTTATCTGAACAAGAGGAAGAAGTGTTCTATAGTTAGTATGGCCAGATTGGTGCAACCATTCATACACAATAGGATCTAAATTTCGATGCGGCGTCGCAATTGCGGCGCTCGCAGCCAAATGCAATCATTTGTTGACCAATTTACACGTTTCTTCGGCCAAAAAAGTTACATTATCGAGTACCTGCTTCGATATTGCTTTTATTAAGTCTAGTCAATTTAGTCTCGTTAGATGTGCGACCAGAAGTATATTCCACGAAACAGCTTTGCGACTTTTTAAATTACTATTTCCTGTCCTTTTATCAATTTGCAGTAAATAAGAATTTTTTCGCGTTTGAATGAAGCGGAAATGGTAGTGTACTGACAATTATATATAAGGCAAATTGATATATTAAAAGTTGGAATAATATTAATTTGCAATTATAGAGAAATCCAATTTTTGACGTTGCTGGATTATTAATGACAATATTTTTTATTACGTAACTTGGAAATAGACATAGATCTATAACAAAAATCTATATTATAATCAAATAAATAAAAAAATTAAAAAAAAAACAAACAAGAATTATTAGATATTTTACAAAAAAAATAGTACTGATAAGATTTAATATAACTATAATTAAAAAGATTGGAACAAAAATTAGACACCAAGAACGAATCTATGAACCCAAGACCTAAAACAGAAAGCTGAAAGTTGCTTCGTGGAATACGAGATCAGATTCTAACACTAAATACGATAATTTATTCGCGCAAAATCGAGATAAAGTGTGAGGCGAGTCTCTTGAATGCGCTTTGTACAAAATCAAAATGTAAGATAAGTAACGCTCTATCTCTCTCGTTTGTGACTCGTTTCGTGCTTAATCGAGACTATCAGAATTATCGTATCAGAATTACCGTATCAAAGAATTACCGTATGTGCGCCTCGAAATTATCGCATTTTCGTTATTCTGGCATCTGACCGAAGCGAAACGGTTCTTTCCAGCATCTGGTTGCTCGCGCGCGTTCGAATCTTCAATCCAACCGTTCTCTCTCATTCTGTATCGCTGTTTTCTCTCCGTTAACTCCCCCTGTCTTTCTCTCTTTGATTAGCGATGGGGAGACCATGTCACCTTCGCCGGCGACGATGACCGTAGACTTTTATATGTAAATAGCACGCGAGCGATTAGCTTTCAAAAAGGAGGATGATGAAAAATTTTCTATATTGTAAGTAGAACAGATTCTTGAATCCCAAATCTGAAGAGCTCGATGAGCGCGAGCTAACACCCGAAGAGTAATCGCCTTGGAAAAAGTCGACAGTTTTATATGATTTTTTCGAGGAATGTCGGTTATCCGTATTGCGGAATTCCCGATTTCCCGATTAAACGTTCACGATTCCAGTTTTTCGAATCTTCTCTCTTTATTTTCTTTCAGAAAAACAATTTTGTTGAAGTTGAAAATGATTTTTAGGCGCACAAACAAAATCTACATTCCTTTCTTTTTGTTTAAACAAAAATATTGACGAAATATTGCGGGGTTGCAGAGATAAATGCGTCCGCGTGTCTTTGCGACATCACCAAAGTGAAATAAAATGGATATTCGGAGAGAATGTATATACATACTTACAATTAACAATAGGATCAGTCCAATATGATGTGACCTGACTCTTTCATAGCTTTTTGGTTCTTTTTCGAATTCAAGTAAATAATCTAATAGAGTATCACGTCATAATTTAATGCGGCAAAGTCGCGGCGATCTCTCGCGAGATGCTTGCTGCTCTCGAGGAAGATTGTTCGAATTACGTCTCGAATGAGGGCGCGATCGATTCTGCGAAACCTTGTGTAAAATATTTCTTACAATATGCAAGAATTGAAGTTCCATGCGCAACTTTTGCGCAGTGTAGGGTAAATAGAAACGATTTATAGCGTGTGCAGTGTATGTTTGACTCTTCGTAACTCTTCGACAAACAAAAGATCGAATTTGGCTCGATTCTTTGAAGTGTAATATTATTATATTTGCTTCAACTTGTAATTCAGAAATATAAAATCCGCGAGAGAAAGAAGTTTTCTTGCAAACATAGTTTATTAGTTTAGACATTAATTAGACAATTAATTTGTAACTAATGCTATATTTTTTACAAGATGGATCAACTATTATTTATTTTTTTTTTGTAGCAAAATGTTACGAAAGTTATTAAATTCCGCAAATGTTTAACGTTTGTAACTTTTCTCGTTTAATCCGTATTTCCATTAGGATGCAAACATGTGATTAATAGTTAAATTTTTCTCTTCCCAATGTTCAATATGTTGTAATAATTTTAGAATTTAATTTAGAATTTAATCCCGTTCTAAAAATGTAGAAGTTATTTCCCGCATTCGTGATGTAAAACTCGAAGAGCACAAGTTTTTCTTAACGTTTGTAAGATTACTCGTCAAAGTTCTCGTGCCTTTATAACGCGAGAGTACGCCATCGAACTGAGTTTTCTGAATGTTTCGGTATATAAATAATTTTATGCAAAAGGATAATGTCGTATATTTGCTTGAGAGTAAATTTTTCCTTTTTGGTAATTTAAATATGATGTTTTTTTATAACTATATGGGTCCATATCTTTGTTATATTTAATATTATATTTAGCTTCACTGTCGAAGTTGGAGTTTATGCAATATTGTTTTTAATATCAGTATGAAAAACAACAATCGGATAAATAGATTTCGCAGTAAATGTTTGACAAGAATGTGGACTATCATTCTTTTCTCCACAGGATTGTAATGACATCCGTTTAATTTCAATGAATTCTCAATTTTCTATCTATATTTTACGCAGCGTTTTCTTATCTTTAAAAATACGCTTAGAATTAAAAATATTATTCTCGAAATAGAACAAAGATGACATATTCCAGAGAAGTGATTAAACTACACCTTCTTTAATAATATCTACACATTAACGCGTTTCCAATTACGATTGTTTTGTCATAATTACATCAGTTTGCCAACTAGAAGTGATCATATTTTGAAGCGCGAGTTCGTTTTCCATTTCGAAGAGAGGCGCACATGTTTTCTCGCGGATGCACCGAACATCACACAAGTTCCTTCAAAAGTTTAAGCAAGAGCTTGGCGCACCTCGAACGAGCTCTCTTCGAATGGCGCGAGTTTTACAGAAGCGTCTAGCAAGATTCTCATGATAAGATTTAAATAATTAAGCATTCCTCGACCACAAATACAACTATAAACGGCTGTACGTAATGTAAAATAATTAAAGCAGAAAAACAGAGAGAGAATGTATCTATATATATAAAAAAAAATATATATATATATATGTGCGACGTTGTAACGCGATGCGTGCGATGTGCATGTAAATTTATTATAAATAAATTATTATAAAGCAATGAAAGTTTTGTTCATGAAGAGAGAGAAGTTCTTGTATTATTAAACAGAATTCCAACTTGATAATAATTTAAGTAAATTATAACCGCCTATTATCAGTTGATAAACTTGAAGGAAGAATATAAAAGTAGAAATCAATAATAGAACCAGAAAATTATAAATAAGTGTATGTGTGGAATGTTTATTCTATGCACAATTGTCGTATATACATTACATATATTACGTATAACATTCTTTATCTGCACGATATATAAATACAGAGTTTAAAAACATTATCGACAAGAATGAGTCTAGTTAGCCAGCTAACAGGCGCTCTTCACAGGCTTCAGCACGTTCTCGGTGAACTGACCGACTATGTTACCCCTCGGATGATAACATGCCACTATCACACACGTGCCGTCCCGTTTGGCCATAGCAATACCCATTTCGGACGTGCTTTTCCAGACAACTTGTGTAAAGTGGCCTGCAAAACAAAAAATATTAACAATACATTCTAATCGTATTACAGATTGCAATTAACTTTAAAGTCCTACTTTTTATCATTCGAAAGTTTATTAAAAAAGTTGAATATAATTACACGAAATGTTATAAATATTTTTTGGACGATAAGCGAGTTTTCGAAACAAATTAATTTTTAGGTAAATATGGTGCGCTTTTTCATCTTTAAATTCGATTTAAAATCTTGTTTGCTGTCTGTAGACTGTACGTTCTATTAATTTTCTTTCGACATTGCATTTATAGTATATTAAAAATGACATATAAAAATGAATTTATACGTACATGTGTTGAGAACTTTCGGCTCGATGCCAAATTTGTGCTCTTTTTTCTCGGAATACCACTTCGAAACGACTTCGCGCGCAGACACGATCAATTTGGGATCGGAACATTGCATTGAATAAATATTTTCGCCGTACGGTGACGACGACTGAGGTATTAATTTATTTGTGTTCAGCAATGTGTTCGCCCAAGCCTGTGGACAATTGAACATATGTAGCGCATTCGAATTTTCTGCACCATTTTTTTTTTCCGATCTTCAATCAACCATGCGGGATTTAATTTGTTTTAATAATATAAGATAGCATAATTTTTCGAATGTTCCAACATTATACCTTGGCAGCGGCTGTTAGTTCCGGACTCAGCCTCAAGTCCGGTACACGGTGTCTCCTCCTGTACTCATTGTGAACTAACAGCGCCTCTTGCTGCCACGCCTGCTCGTCCATCATATACTGTTGCTTTAGATCGGTAAAATTAATTCGCTTTGTCGGACTAGCATCTACAGGTGGCAGAACGTTCTCCGTGAAACTGCCTAGAAAATTCCCAGCGGGATTATAGTTGCACACAACGTAGACCTCTCCGTTTCGATTTCTGGCCATTCCCACTCCCAGCTCGGTGCTGTCCCTCCAGATTACTTGCGTGAAATGACCAGTCTTCAGTGTTGTCGGCTCCTTTCCGTACTGGTGCTGAGCTTCCTCAGCGTACCTGAAGAAAAGCAAGAACTTCAGCTAAATTGTGCTCAAAGATTTTGCTATCGACAAAAAGAACGAATCTATGCTACGCAATTTACATAAAAATTGAAATTTATTTGTCTCGAGAAAAGCAATTGCACATCGGCGAAAATTAAACTTGTATTTTTTTTTATACGCATTTAATAATGATTTAAATGTGTATTAATGGAATAAAGCAATATATTGTTCTATCATTGTGTAGGCTACGCTAAGCATAACATATTTTATAAAATTTTACCATTCATTCACCGGCTCTTCGCCGCCGACGACAGTCTTTGGATTTGAGCTCCACATACAATAGAGATTCTCTCCATAATCAATGTTCGCCCTGTGTTCTAATCTACCCCTAGCTGCCAATATGTTGGCCCAGTCTTGACTTGTCTTGCACAGCTGTGGATAAACAAGCATCGTTACTTATCGTAAAGAAACGCCGACAGAGATTGCTCCATATTTCCGCGAACTTTCGCGAATGAAAAAGACCATCGCGAGCATAAAAAATCGCAAGTTTCTTGGAAGTTACTCAGACGAGGTACAATTTTATGGCGGCGTAAAAATATTAATGGTAACCTGCTTGCTGAGTCGTAATGGCGGTGCTCCATGCCGCGATCGGTAGAAATTGTGCGTATCGAGGCAGACGTTGATGAATTCCTTCGGAGGCCCCGATCTGCGCACAGATGGTTTACGCGTGTCAGTCTTTGTTATCTATAACACAGAGAGAACACCGTATGACAGATCCAAATTGAATAATAAAACCGCAAATAATGAAAAACTTACAATCACGATCGTGGAAATATCGCGGAACTATCTATGGGGGTTGGCACTGACCTATAGTGATGATTTCCCATCGTTCTATAGAAGCACGATCATCCTCTACACGATTAGAATGCCCGTCTGTAAATTTTTGCTCGCGCTTCCGTTTGCGTGACCGCTTGTTAAATTTCTCTTACTTGCTGGGAAAATTTACCGAGCAAACTGCGATTCACGTATATTCCAGGTACGAATAACGAGAAAATAATACAGAGACAAAGCTAATGATTAAATTAAATATCGTAATCCGAGATGCGATCGGAGTAACATGAGACAGCGACAAAAAAGTTCTCATGCAACTTGAATTGGCGGTAGCTTCAGAGTTCTTTGATGATCGTTTGTTTAATTGTCTATCATTCGCACAACGTAGGCGACGACTCGATAAATTGGATGACAAAAAATGTAAGCGTAAAGAGAGTTAAATAATAAAGTGATCCTAATAATTATTAATTGAATAAAAACAAAAATTTACGAGTGAGATACTTGAAAAAGAAAACGAGAAGAAACTGCTATCACTAAATTAATTCTCAGCATATCATTAGAATTCATACTTTATTAATTTTAATTTTAGTTTCAGAACTTTTTGGAAAAAATCTAACTAAGAATTGATGTTTCTCCTTACTTTTGTCAATTATTCATACAATGAGTTAAGAATATAAAAAATAAAAAAATATTTTTACATTATTAATTGCTGATATATTAAACAAGATGCAAATGAGAACTTAATATAAATTGATTGAAAAGCAGTTATTAAAACATCGAGCAGTTATTAATACCTGCCGTTTGATAAACGCGCATCTGTGCGCGTTACAAATTGCTTGACCGTTTTGCGGGCAAGGTCATTAACGTATAAGTGCGAAAATCTTAGCGTGCATAAAGAATAAACTAAGCGAATGGGAACGCAACGACACGCGCTCGCGGAAAATGGAGCGGAAAAATTGATTTCGCGAGCGCGCGAAGCGCAGTCTGAACTTCTGACAGATTAGTCATCACGCAAAGCCGGACGATCAACGTGGCGCAATGATCTACCGATCAACCGTGGTGGCGAAGCGCGGAGTCAGACGTGACTCTCGGAAAAGGGACGATTCTGAGTCATCGCGAGATGGCAATGCACTTCTCCGGCAAAATCTCATGGTGGTTTAGCTCTCCTTTCACGCTGCACGCGACCGTCACATGCAGCGAGACCGCCTGTAAAAGCTGCGCTTTCCAACCGAGATCGGCTAATTTATTAAGTAGGCTGAAACCAGGCTCGCGATACGAGAAGATTGCAGCGGACTGATTGATGAGAAACCAGCCACCGAGGAAACCGTCACGAAGATACAATCAATTAACACTTGTGTTTCTATGCTTTCAATTATGGACACGTCTTTTCCTCACATTTGCAACATATTAACGTGAAACAATCCAGTATTGTTGGGTTTTTATGCAGCTATATAAAAATAATCAGTAATTCAATTTTTATAAATAGTACTAAAATGGACAATTTGTTACGCGATGCAATTTATCCTCGTGCAAAAAGAAACCTGTTCATGGTGTAAACCTGATCTTACAGTGTGCTCTCTTAAACACGAGATTTATACAAATAACACGATCTAGTTGCGTGCGATGTTGTTAGCTCGATCCGCAATTTGCGTTGTATATTATTTGCTCTCTTTATTTTGATACAATATACATGTTTATATTCACACAAAGGTATGGAAGCGAAATAGAGAACATTTCTAGCGCCTTTAAATCTGTTTACATATTCTCGCTTCATACTTTTTCTAGTTATTGACATTTTAATTTTTAACTTTTTAAAATTGAATGAAGAGTATAAATTCCAGATATAGAAAATTTTTTACAACGTCAGAACTTTGCAAGTAGTTTCGATATCTAATTACAGTTCTTTTAGCTAGGTGTCCTTGAAAATGTTAAACTTTGAAACTTTTAATATAATATATTCTGAATTTTTATCTTGGATTCTGGCAATATCATATTTTTGGATTTGTGATGTATGTTTTTTTTATTCGGGGAGAAGTTTTTTTTCGGTTAATATAATAAATAATTACCTGTGAGGACGAATATCTCGCGGAATCAGGAGACGCCGATGAGGACCTGGCGCTGCTGCAGGACGGGACGCTGCTGCCATGCCATCGCTTCCTAGACTGCCATGGAAACTACCATGCAAAGAATTCGACAACGGTCCTGGCGACGCCGGCGATGCCGTCAACGGAGACTTCGACCTTACTGAATCTGTCCTCGACCTGAAAGCAAATCGATTGCACGGTATACGAGGAAATACAGAGCTCCTTTTTGCTCCGGACAGCACAGTGACGCGTAGTGAACACTGAGCGCTTTAAACAAGCTTTTCAGTTTATTATAATGTTTCTGCACTAGAAGCTACTTCATGTAAGCGGATGTAAGTTAATTTTTCTTATTGTGATCGCTTTAAGAATTCCTTATAATTTTTGTCATTTCACATTCTGCAAAAGTTTGAGAAAAAATCGTTAAAACTATTCTGACAATAATTGCAAGTAAAACGTCTACGATTATTAGGATTGATTATTGAATTATATTATATTATAAAATAAATATTTTTAATAAAACAAAAATAAAATTGTTCAAAAATAAGAAACTGGTAATTAATAAAACAAATTATTATTTTAATTAAAAGCAACACAAACAATAATAAGAATAAAGATATTATTAAAAAATTTCTTTTAAAAGGAATTCTTACTAATATTAAATAATGAAATTCAATTGAATGAAGTTCAGAAGAAGAAAATAAAGATTGCATTGAAGAAAGTTATTATTTTAAAATTATTTTTAGACATGTCATTTTTTGAAAAAAATATATTGTTTATTAATTTTTCTGTAATATTAATAATGCGTAAGTTAAGAATAATTATAAATTAAAAGTTAAAATAAATTATTTTGTGCTGCAGGAAAGAGTTTTAAAACATAAATAAACAGTAATTTATATCATTTGTTTGAATACTTTTTACACTTTTCTGTTATGACTGATATGATTTGATCTTCCTCTGATCTCATCTATTAAACAAGCGATAACGAAACACGTGTGATACTAAGCTTCATGAATCATAAAACATGTTAAATGAATTGCGCAAATGATCCAAACATTTTTGTAGTAAAAGCATAATAAATCCAAGATTACGAGTTCTTATCTTGTGCTTCGATAAGGCACGCTTAAGAGAGGCCATTGCTTCTTTTCTCCGCTAATTTTTCAAGAAACGTAAATTACAAATAAAATTATACTATTTTAATGTGGTATAATTTAATATTACGATTCTTTTATTTTAGCTAAAATTATCTGCGCTGCTGCGTGAAATAAAATCGATACATTGTATTATAATGATGTCTTGAGATTCTGTGCATTTTGATTAAATGTGAGCAAAATGGAAAGCCAATGAAATTACGATGTGCGATGATCTCGATCGCGAGAATCATATGGATGATCATTACGGCATGTGCAATGGATCGAAGCGAACGAACGTGAAGGCATCTAAGAGCACTATGTAATTACAACGATGTCTCTAATCTAATCCCTCGCAGTCTTTCACGACAGGCTGAATACTGTGCGCCCGCGTAAACAATTCATGTCGCAGATATCCAATCATTATTATACGCTCATAATGCAAATTCGCATTTGCTTCGCGCAAAATTGTATACGTTGACTGATGAATAGCAATTTTGCCAGACTGTGCAGTTAACTACGCATTAAAATGCGAACGGATGCGAAAAAAAAAACGACCGCCATGAACGTGCTGCATAATTGCGCGAGATAATAAATGTCGACTTAACGATGATATATTTACAGAAAACCGATTACTCGATGAATTCGAGAAACCGTTTATTTATTATTTCACATTTATAGAGTGGACATGTTCCGAGATGGAACTTCTGCGAATATTTAATGTACAAGTTTCAAGAAATTCTGACATTTATTGACGAGCAAATATACGATCAGCGTGCCATGTGGCAAGAACGTATTTAGAACGGAAACTGCTTAAAATATTAAAAACTTCAAAATTTGTCGAGTTGTACACGAAACATTTAGATGGACATAAATTTCACTTCAATTTCACTTTAGCTGTGTTTTTTTAATTCTATATTTTATGTAAAAACGGAATGAAATGAAAGGATATCCACTTGCATATATAAGAAATAGCATTATATTTTTGTATATAAATTAAAGTATCTACATACATAAATAAATTTATTAAAAGTTGAATAATTTCAATATTCAGCCGAAACGCGTTGTCACGATATCAGAAAGCCAAGAAACAGCTGAAAATTTCTGAATCCTCAGCAGACCCTTACGAGTCATGCGAAGTATTTACGTATGCGTCATTACATACGCCTTTACGCACACGAGTACTTCCTTCTTCCTACGAGTCTTCGCGACGCATCCACGGCCATGGTCGCCGCAGAAGAAAGGTTGTCGTTTCCTTTGTTATGTCGCGTGTCCAGGAGAGAAGAAACTGACAATGTGAGTCTCCACGATGTTTGCCATAGAGTTTCAACCACGATAAAGTACAACATGTGTGCGCTTCTTGTTATCAAAAAATTTCAATACAGTATTCTATACAATTTTGAATCAAGTTTTACATAGGATAATTTGGATAGTGCTCTTGCCTGGATTTGCCGGAAACGATTTTAGCTAATCGTCGAAACAGAATGCCGATAAGATAAAAGTTTATCTAATTTTATTAATGAAAGAAAAGTTCAAATCCGCGCATCAAACAACTTCGATATAAAACAAAATACTTGAAACATTTTGCATTTCATTCTATATTCTGTCTATCACGTTTTTATACTTCAGTACATTTTATTCCTTCGGGCGAAAGAAGTTTTCTCGATTGCGCCGTCAGCGCGGGCGGAATCGCATATATCGCATATGTCGACGTTAAGCAAACGACGATAAGAATTTAATACCGACAAAACGTATCTCGCGGCGATTAATCTTTAGTTAAACGATACGAGCAGATTTTTGCTTTCCAACTTGTCAGCGCACAAGCGATGTTACAAAAATTTCAATACGTTTAATGCAAAAACAGTCAAATACGTATACTATAATTTACATTGAATTTAAAGATAAAATTTTGTATCTCTAAAAAGTTACGCTTAGATAACAAAGATGGCAAATGTGCATTTTATTAATTGTGATTAAAATCGCAAATTGGAGCGCATTTTTCAAAAGGGGTTCATCTTCATAATTTTATAACGGAATTGCCGTCTCGAAAACTATTATCATAATCTAAATGAGAGAAGCACGTTGATAATAATTTGTGAAGACCGCGCGCGTATACTCGTACTTTACAGCCTCCGAAGATCTCATACTTTCATTTTACTCCAGTAACGGTTTAAGTCTTATTTCTGGCGAGCGGATGTTATCATCCTATTACGTTATCGTGAAAGCCGGTAATTTACAGCGTTCTTACAGAATTGCCTTCTCGCGACCCGTTTGAACATAAGCACGCGAACTTTCAGCTGTCGCACGGCTTTCTACGTGCCACCTACGCTAGTGAATCAGGACCATTTGCCGATTCTAGTGAAGTTTCGGAAAGCAGTTGTCTAAGAGAGAACACCGGCAAAATGCTATCGGTGCTGCGGAAATCTGTCTTTCTTTCGCTTATTTTCGCTTCACTGGAATCGGAATTTGGCTGGACTGCAAGTTTTGCGCCGCATAAGCGATTATACCTGTCGGGCGACACTTGATCGACAAAACCGACCACCTTCTTTTTCGTTCCTTGCACGTTGAGCGACGGCATACTACAAGGGTAACGATTTGATCAAGAGAGACATTAAATTGCATTCACTCGTGAGCAACGGATAGAAGCAAGATTGTATTTTATAATGCAGTAAATTAAGCATCGACTTGAAGAATTAAAAGTATAGGTTATTTTTGATATACTTTGTCGGTATCCAACAATTTATAGCTTATTAAAATAATATCTTGACTCCAAATATTGCTCCGCAAGTTTAGAAGATTTGCCAAATGCCGTATGATATTTCTTAGATTTTTTATAAACTTCAAGATTGAAATCAAAAAAAGAAAATATTATTTTTAGACTTAAGTGTATGAAATAGTTGAAAACTTGCAATCTACAGTTTCTCTCGAAATACCTTTCTATATTATTAAACACAGTATCGCAAGTTCACTGTCTTTCCATTGAAGTTCTCCTTGTAAAGATTCAATAGTTATCATTCACTGTAAATTCAATTTTTAATATCGGAAATTTTATTAATTATCTACAAACAAAATTTCTAAAAGAAGGGCAGAGTAGCGAAACCTAAAACACTTTGCATATGCACGCTAACTGGCAGAAAGGGTCTGAAATACGAGACAGCTGACTTTACGACCGACAAAGTTTTGTCTACTTCGAACCGTATAACAAGTTTCCGGTACACGTTCGTGCAAGAAGGAAACGCACCTTCAATCACGCGCACCGAAGAAACATTTTACTAACACAGAATAATATAATGCTATACTACAGCTGTAATATCAGTTTGTTCTAAACATTGCAATGTGCATCCACCGTTTACCATTTCTCAGTGATTCGAAAACTTCGAACAGTGATTTAAACTTTTTTCTGAAAATATTTGCTCTTCTGATAAAATTGTGAAAAAAAGAATTAAAATTTTAAATACATACATATCTATATACACACATTCAGTTTGCTAACTGTATATTCGAGTTCGTAAGTTATATTTTACAAGTGGTACGCTTACTCCGATACACTACATGGATCTCAGTAATCACACACTATTTCTTTGCTTGAATATGTTTTCTTTTTTCGAACGGGAAGTAAAAATAGATCAGGATAATATCAGGTAAAAAACAACCATTACCGTCTGAATTACTACTCGCCGACGCCGACTTACGTAAGTTCAATCTTTGATTATAACCAAACACATTTTAACTTTACTTGTATTGCATGTTTGTTCTTGAGCTACGTTCATTATATCATTAAACCGTTTAGTAATATCGAGACAACTCTTTAATTAAAAGTAATCATATGCAAATATCAATTCTCCGCAAATTTTTATTAACAACTGAACAGTATATATGAACAGTGTGTTAGAGAATACGTAAAAGAACAAACTATATTCTTGAAAAATTAAGAATAAAAATTTATGTCTCTAAAATGAAAGTTGAAAAATCTTTCCAATAAAATATTATTTAATGCATTATATAATTATTGCGTTATATAATTTAATTCAAGTTTGAATTCGTATCCAGCAAAAATCTAAATTATTCTCAAATAACAGCATTTGCAGGTAATAATTGATATAAAATTGAATAGGAGAAGTGCGCCACTTTGGTATATCTACGATATTTAATGTTAGCAATCGATAAACTGTCAAACCTGTTGGATTTTGGTGTAACGATGTCCCTTGTTTCCGAGGTATATTTCCTCTCTGCTCGGCCGCCGTTGAAAAGTTCAACGGTTTCTCTGGTAACGGTCTCTAGAAGAGGTTCACCACCTCGTCTACCCTTGCTGAAAGTCCTTTGATCCGTTTTACGGACCATAACCACCCTCGACAGGGGTTGATTAAACTCGTGCCCGTGCATAGTCGGAGGTATCATAGCAAGCGACTGCGAAAGAGGACCTCCGATTCGCGGAGACCTGGAACATGAATTGTTTCAATAATCAATAGCGCATTTATGTGAAATACATCATTTGGAAAATATTAATATTCAGAGCTTATGCACAAAAATATATTTGTACAAATTTGCACCAAAATGTTTCTCTAAAGAAACTTGAATTATTACGCCAGATATTTACGCCTTGAATTATTACGTATTTATTTTAAAATCTAATTTACGTCTTTACATAATGCCGATGTTAACAGACACAAAAGCAGATACGTCAGCTTATTGTAAATGCAATGAGACAAATCTGCGATGCTGTGATATATCGAATAAATTGTGATATATCAAAAATTTGCTTGCTTATATAAGCAATATGATTTATTACGATGACATGTATATTTTTTTGTCTCAAAAACATGTTGTGATTTTCGCTTCTTCATCATTTTTCTTTTATACGACATGGTTCTTCGCTTACATTGTAGTTGCACCGTTTGCTTTTCGCAGCTCGCTTGCATCAGCAGTCGCGAAACCATATCGGCGACGTATGTACATTAAAATTTACTAAGTAGAGAATACAGTAGAGAGACCGCGATAAATTATCATTATCTTGTTTCTTCTTTATGATCGATAGTCACAATGTATGTTGCAAACCGGTTTTCAGCGACACATACAATTTTAACGCCAGTCGCCGGTGACGTTAATTATTAACCGTCTTCTTTTTGAATGCTTATGCATGCTTTCTTACGCGTGTAAATCTCGTTTCTTTCGCACGTTAACGCGTGTCGCGAACAATTAATATTCATAATGTGTATATATTATACACAATATACTATATTTTGAATTTAACTACCAAATTTATGAAAATTACTTATTAAAATACGTTCAGAGCTTAAAATTTATTAATTGTCATAAAAATAATTTTTGTTGAGTTGCCATAAAAATTATCATTTCTTAATTAAATTTAATGCAATGCATCTAGATGCTTCTATTTCACAGTAACGCACTGTAACGTAATATCATTGTCACGCTTATAACATCGATAGATTTGCTGTACGTGATCTGTTTGAAACTAACATTACTTGCAACTAGAACGGAATAACTAGAACGAAATTCCCTTTCGACGTAAATCGTCGTTCGCGTGCGAAACTCTGAATTAGCCGGACGATTAAACCGCAATATGCACGCTTAGACCGAGAACGACGTCTAAGGCAAATCTCCTTCATTACATCTGAAACGTACCCTCGTTAACCCGCACTTAACCTTGCGTAACATCGCGAATACGTTTTTCTCATTGGAAATAATTAAATTGTTATTTTAATAACAGTATTCTTTGTTTCTACTACTTCGAAATACTCGATAAACTTCCATATAAATATTATTTTGACACCTTTAACTTGTCTCTTTAATTTTTGAAACGTATATTTCGATATATCAAACAAAATTCAAATTGTACTGCTTACAATCACTTCTTCAATTAGATTCAAATTCTTTGGCGACAACGTTGTTTTGCGATTTATCGGAAATAATTCATTTCTATTTATAAAACTGGCGAACATTATAAACTCAACCGTAAATGCAAAGGAAAATCGAAATAAAGAAATGGAATAATTATGTAAAGGGAGCTATTTACAGAATTAATGAGAATTCATGGAATTTAATAGAGAAACTAGAAAACACTGCGCAGGAAGCGAAAGTAGCGAATGATTACTAAAATTGTTGCATGTTGTATTTATTTTATGATTATGTGATATCACGATAGAATTGGAAATATCTTAGAATGATGTAAGTCAACAATCTTTTTCATTATTGTTTTTTATATTGGCAACACAATTGTGTATCATTGACATAAAATGCAGATTGCTATCATTGACATAAAATATCGATCTCAGCGATAAAATATATTTCTGAACTACTTCGCGCCTGACATTTCTCCATTTATAAAACACAAACTTGAATCCATGAATCATAAGCTTTTTCTCGCGAAGAAAGTCGATGACTTCCGATAGATAACGAACCGGTGCATTACGTTAATAAAAGCTCGGCGCGCACAATTAGGCTTCTTGTTCGATGCACTTTCACGGCAATCACTTGCGCGGTCAATTTAGAACGTGGCACTTTTCGCGGCTATAAATTCATAACTTACCGCCGCAAACAGAAAAATTCTATTGTCAAAATTATGCTTACGACTACAAAGATTATATTCATTTCGCTTTTTCACTCAAAATTAAGATGACGTAAGTCGTGATCTTTTTGAAAACTGTAATAAATGCGTATGTCATTTTATAAGTATTAATACTTATAATACTTATAACAATAAATATTAATACTTACAATACTTATAAGTATAAATACTTTCAGTTCCAAAAAATATTGTAATTCCTCACATTCTTCGATTAAAAAAGAGTCACGGCTTTCATGACTTACGGTGCAAAGAACTCCAAGTAACACGGCACGTCGGCGTTTTTCAATAAAATCCCCGGTAAAACTCCATTGTGTTCTCCCGTGGCGTCGGAGCGCCAGCTACACTCGGTACAAGCCGCACGACAGAACGAACAAAACTGGTACGAGTCGGCCACAGTAAAAGAGAGAGACGGTTCCTCTCCCGGAGAGGAAAGGTGGCCAATTAGCCGTTACTCGGCGCACATGCCTCGACCAACTATCCGGCACAGCTGCAGCACGCTGTACCGCGTCGATGCACCGCGCTACACTGCCCGCGCGCTTCGACGGAGTCGCGTTCATAAGCGCGCACGACTCTCTCGCGCGTCTCCCTCAACGAGCTACGAGTTGCGATTCGTTCGACCATTCTTCGACGAAAATAATCCACCGCTAATCAAAGATACTTAACAGCCGTTAAGTAATCCAGAAATTATATAAAAAACGTTCTTTTTCTTTAATCTCTTATCACAACAATGATAAAATTTGATTTCTGCGTGCTCCACTTCGGCTAGGAATTATATATTTTTGATACAATGTTATATAATTCTTTAGTTTAAATAACTTTTAATTCAGTGAATACTACGGTTTTCTCCGTCTCGTGGAATGGAGTATAATTTGCACTTAAAAATAACTTGAGATGTGTGATACAGAAGTGTAACAAGGAAGAAAAGCCGCGAAACGGCAGTAAAAAATAGCTTCGTGCATGATGCGTGTAAGTTTCTTCCGCTTTCGCGACAAAGCGTGCTACTGTGCGCCTCGCGGAAAGCAGCAACATAATAATTCGAGAACGAAGATGTACGGGCGAGCGTGTACCGCTATTCCGGCTGACCGGAATCACTGCTCTGGAACAGCACGGTATCGTCTCTTGCTCGGCTCGTAAGTAGAAGCGCATTGATCTCCAACGCGCGTATGCAACACTACTAACAAGAGTATTCACAGCTGAAGAATTTATAGCTTCAGCTTTATACTGTTCAAAACACAATTTCCACTATAAATATATATACATTGTATATATAAAAGTATTATCTGATTTAATTTAATTCAAGTTTTAATTAATATTTTTATTTATTAAATTAATTTGCACTTACTAATTAAACTATATTTTTCAAAATATCTGTTTATCGATTAATTTCTCTTTTGCACTAAATGTTTTTAAATACAAAATTTCTTCTGTGAGAGTGCGATCTCATTCTTATTCTATTGTACACTCCAAGCTCAAATATGACTTTCACGTACAAAAACTATAACAGTGAAACAAACGCTACCTCGTTCTCTCTCGTGACTCTCGTTATCTGAACGACTTATCGGTCACCTTAATTTATAACGATGGCACGTGCCGTTGCGCGATCATGGCCTCGCATAACAAGCGGAACACTCGAAGGTGCAGATTATTGAAGCAACCAATTAGCAAGAAGATAACAGAGAATCTTACGAAACGCATAGGAAGAACGGGGCGTTTCCGGTCGAGAGGAGAGACTGAGTTTCGCGCGATACTTTCATTTGTATTCGAAGAATTTCTTCGCCGATTTCCTCGAGGAAGAAACACGTCGGTTTCAACAATAGCAGCGACTGATCGATTCACCACAATTATACAATCGTCGTCTCATTTATCTCTGTTACATCATCGCGACCTTTGAAACAAGCTGTTATTCTTCGATGCGCGTAGTTAATTTTCCGGCAACCTTCAAAATGCCAGACATTGTTTTCGTCTTCGAATCACGCAAAAAGAAGATGTTTAAAAAGTTTTATAGCGCCTATTTTCATTGAAAAGAAATCTAGTTTCAGCAGCAATTTACTTCGATAGAAATGATAGTGCCCTGATATTTAACAAAGATAATTGTGGTGTACAATGTTGAAATATGTCTGATAGACATGATACGTTCACATAAAATTTGATTTTTTAAAAGTGTGCCTTGGCACAACAAAATAATAGATATTTTTGCTATGATGTTATACATTCATTTTCATTTATTTTAAATTATTTCTGATTTTTTAAATATGATCATACACATGTCATGTCATGATAACTTTTCCGTTTCATGTAATAAAATATACAATTTTTCCGTGATAAAAATATTATATATAATATTTCCATAATGATAAATATTACATATATGAATTATGCGGTATTATGTTTAGAGATATAAAACCAGTAATCTCTTTATTTTAATATAGGTTAATGTCGATTTTACAATTAGTGAAAGCAGCAGTGAAGAATTTTTCGGATTTCGCTGAAATAAATATCGTAAATTGCGTGTTTGTATACATTTATAAATGATGAGATATTTTTTCCACAATGAGATGCAAGTAGGTAATAGAGAGTCAGGAAGTTCGGGGAATTAGACTGATACGTCTGCTCAAATTAGAATCTGCTAATTAGAACAAAAAAAAAAAACTTTTAATAGAAATATTCTCGCCGGACATGCAAGTAAATGCAAATAAAAATTTTTTTGTTTAATATAAAATACGAACTTTGTAAATAATCTCTCTGACAGTTCTTAGGAGAAAGTTACAAAAACTTTTAAACTATACATCGATATGCAAACTTCAGAATGTACTTCGTAGTTAGACAAAAGTATTATAAAAGCATACCTCAAT